TTGAGAAGTAGATAATTGCATACTTGAATAAAATGCAATTATCCTTCTACATGTACATGTAAATGCAACAGATTTACTGCCCATTTGGGATTGCAGATTTGTTGACTTGAGGAAGTTGAGGCTCACAAAACAAAGGACATTTAATAATGAAAATACCATGCTGTAAAGCATTATGGAAGATCATTTGAAATTGTGGCATTTACAACATAAACATAAAAATTGAATTCACGATAAAATACAGCATTGGCTGCTTTTCAGAACTGCAACAGACATAATTTGTCTCATACATCTTATAATCAATGATCTACATTGTACATGTACATCGGATTTGAATTCATTTTGTGAATTTGCCCAATAACTTTTGATTGAGAACCCTAAAAACATATCAGATGCATTTAGAAAGAGCAAAGATTCATGAGCACACTTTGTCCATTTCACTTGATGCCGAGAATTTTAACAAGGAAAATAAGCTATAAAATGCCTAAGTTAAATGTAGCAAAATTTAGAGGGCATAATTCACTATCAGTCTTTGCATAGAAATTTATACCAATTTTTTAAGTTTTTGATTTGGTCTTTATCTTTATTGAAACAAGGTACAACAACATATATCACTTTAAAAAGAAATAACAGTGTTGCCAATTAGAGGGGAAAAGATAAGGTAATCAAGCCCTTGAATATTCCTGTCCTAAAAGATCATTTTTTTTATACCAATCCGAATCAATACTATTCATTGCATTAAAATAAGAAATGAAAAGAAAGTGATCTTGAATGAGTGTCATCCCTACTATCTTTCCAAGAACTTAGGAAATTGATTTGTCAAAAGGACCGGTGGTCTGACAAATTTAGGGGATTTACCTTGCCAATGTATTGTAACAAAGTTTTCCTTTTCTTATATCCCTGTCACACCGACCTGTTACTGTCTGTCTGTCTACCACATCCTACTGACCGCTAAAACCAATGTCATGTCTCACAACGTTCCAGCCACTCGTCTCCCCTCTCACACCTTTATTCTGTCAATTAAATTCTCTCCTTGTCTAATGGATGATCCCATAATTGAATTACCTGCATGTTTTTCTTTTCTGTAATGTTTAAATCGCATTAACTGTGCAGTATACACAGTATGTAAACTTATCCTACAATATGGTGATCTTAAAACATAGGACATAGCTCCACGCTTACTATTTGGGAATGAGGTGCAGAACCTACAGATGGAGATTTTTTTTTTTTAGGCACAAGCCCTACATTGTTTGTAAAACAAAATGAAATTTGGGGGTCCTTTGACATTAATAGAAATTTGGCAAATAAGAGTGGAAGGTGGATATATGTGATGATAGTGTACTACAGAACATTACCTGAGTTAATAATCTTGTGCAAGTAAATCACAAAAGTTTCTTGATTATCTGTTTCTACATATGGGGGAAGCTCATGTGCGTGTAACATGGCAGGAAACTATACATAAAGCCAATCTAAAGAGTAATTGACCAGAGTTTCCCTCCATTTGCCTAGAGGTTGTCATTGCTCCAATTGCTCATTTAGATTTCATCAGAATACATTCAGGAACAATTTGTTTCTCATTGATCATAGTGTTCCACATCCCAAGAAGTGCCCACTTCCCAAAGCCTCAGACGGTTGTGGTCGATGGAGTTGTGCCAACATTTAAAACCATAGTCAAGACTCAAGAGTGAGTAGTGTCTCAATTCAGGATACCCCAAATCAATGAATTTTCACATTTCCCTCTTCCCCTTAATCTCCTTCTTGTTCCGTTTCTCTTTTAATTTAGTAGTTTAATTTTGAGCCGAGTCTTACTATCTCTCCCCCACTTTCTTACGCAGTGTCTCTTTCTTTCTCTTACATACATGTACAGTACATGTATATATTTGCCAAGTTTGCCTCAATTCCAAAACCTTATCTTTGTTCTCTTAATCGGATTTCCTCTATACTTTGCTCTTTTCCTTCCTACTGTACTTCTTCCTTCAAATATTCCACTTGATATTAACATCAAGACAAACTCCTGATTGTATTTTACAGGTACACTGGATGTACAATATTTTAGATCTGCTCCTGAATTTAAAACATTCTCTTCACAACAAATGCATTCTTACAGGTAATGTACATGTGTAGATATATCACTTTGTTAATATTTGTTTTAATTTTCATAAAAACCTGTCCATAATAATGCAGAATTTTCATCTCATTCTTACAGATTTCTTAAAATGAACAGTTTATCTTTGCCCTTTCTACACATATTTCATCAAAGCTGCGATTTGCTAAGACCCTTAACATTTTAAATTTTTTGGATAACTTTCTGTAACCACAAACCTGCTTTTGATAGTGATTTCCTGACTAGGCTCTAGGGCACAATAAATATTAATAGAATAAAGACCTCCCCAAAATACAACATGGTAGTAAGAGCAGGATGCTGAAATTAAATCTAAATGGAGGAAAGCAGAGCAAAGAATTGACATCATCTAACCACTGATTCTTGCACTGTTGTACAAGCAATAACAACATGGCAAAGTGGCCAAGATCAATAATCTTCAAGATAATTAAGTTACAATGAAGTATATCAACATGTACATCATATGTCCAGAACCATTAAGATAGGATCTTCAACAATGACAGGCTTGATTCAAAACTTCTCACGAAGAAGCGAGTATAGAATTAGATACATGTATCATAGAGAATCAAAGATTTCTTTCCTGCGCTGTCTTTTTATGGAAATCCTTAATGTATTAGATCCACATGTATGTCTGTACATGTACCCTACATGTAGGTTGCTTAGACCCAAAAATGGAATTTGGCAAATTCTTAAATATTGTCGAAAAGATATGAATGAATAGGGTACTAGAAATCTATCTCTCATAAAAAATACTTCTGTGATTAAAAAGACATTCCTTCCAACATGTTCTATAATGTACATTCCAAAAATCAGAGACAATTTTTTTTTCTCCAGCAATTAAAAGTGGATCTTTTCCTTAAATTTCCCATGCTTTTAAAGGTTATTGGGGGCAACACGGTACTAAAGGATGACAAATGTTATCTATATTAAAGTATTGTATTAAGTTGTGGCTCGGCAACCCACAGTATACTGTACATAGGGGCCTGGTTTCATGAAACCATTGGAAGTACAAGACTGCAAGTTCACCTACATGTACATACATCATCCCATTGAGACGTGTGATAATTACATTACTGTACACACGTTTCAATGTTGGTTTTATGACAGTTTCAATGATGGTTTTATGATGGTTTTGTGCAACGCTGCAAAGGAATTCTATTTGCAAGATAATTGACATTGAACAAACAGAAATGACTTTCTACTAATGTCATGGGTTTAGCCATTGTGTAGGTAATGGCATCATGGGACTTCTGGTCGTAATTGATACATGTAAATTAAATCTTGAGTAACATTAACATATTAAAGGGATCGTTTAACAATGTTAAATCTGAGACACGGTCCTACATGTTACCAGTGTCTGTGATATGGTGTAATATTGAAGCCCTAAAAAAATCACGCTTCAAAATGATCAAGAAGTGCCTCAAAAAAGTAAAAATCTTTGAGTGACCGGTTTTACCATACTCGTTTTCCCCAATAGACTGTAGTGTTATGAAAACCGTTCGGCGAACAGTTTTCAAAATTTGTAATTCCAATCATTAATATCTTGATAATCAGACAGGCGATCGGCTAGTAAAAGTCATGGAGTTCTTGACTGACCTCAAGGTTTATAATTGTCATTGCATCATGAGCTAAATCAAGGACTATTTCTAAAGAATCTAAGACAAAAAAAAAATACTGGATCCCTTTAACAATGAATGATTAAGATGGGGGAAGTTGCTGCAGAAGAATATCCCATCATCTTCTTTCATTGTCCATTTTCACCTCTCATTGACATTGCTTCTTACATTTTATCCTCTTTTTCTCTTTCTTCCGTTTCTGTTTATTATTTTTTTAGCCATTAAAATTGTTAGCATGTGAATGAATACTGCTAAAGTAATGAACATGATCCTATCCCCCTACAATTCGTCCCTATTTTCACGAAGTAACGATACTCGGTAGTAGTGCTGTAACATCACGGATATCTCCAATTCCGTTTAACCGCCTGTCAAAACCGGACGGTTTTCGGTTAAACGATTTATTTAAAAAAGCAGGAAGGTGATTTAACTGAAGGCGCCGATTCGTGCTTGTGAACTAGTCACAAATAATAGTAACAATGTCGTTTTAGAATAATGTGTAAGATCATTAAAGTAAATTAAAAACAGTAGAGGACCTAGGATAGAACCTTGTGGTACACCATGTGTTAAACTTGGATGAATATATATTGAGATCTATTACAAAGATTACTTTCAAAAAATTCAAACCAAGATGACAGACAAATTGGAGTGTTGTTCTAGTTTCCAAGTGGTAAGTCATCACACCGATTACTGAGCTAGGAGACATTGCCAGGCATAGTGCCAGGTGGAGGGGCATAAATCGAAACTTTAAAAAAAAAAATATATATATATATATATAAAAAAAAAAAAAAAAACGGGAAAACGAAACCGTCCAATTGAAAACGGAATCCGCCATGGGCGGTCGGATACCGGACGGTTAAACGTTTGACTACAGCACTACTCGGTAGTGAGGAAAATCGCATACAAATTTGTGTGACGATTTTCCTAACTAAAGACACTAGCTACCGTCACTTCGTGAAAAAAGGGACGAATTATAGTCCTACCTGCTGTGGGGCAACATAATCATGATGATGTAGATTCACCATCAGAAAATTGTTCTGAATAAACCCTGGAGATTAGAGGATGTCTGTACAACTTGACTCTAATCCGTCTGCTATGCACCACTGTGCACGGGGAACTCCCCCGTATACAACAGCGCAAACGCCTCCTGCCTGCTGATGCATGCACTCGGACCCGCAGTCGGACTGAATCAATGACTTCGCAAACTCTGCAAAAGGAAACATCTAAAAACTCAATAATGATACATTGATAATCAAATATATACTTACCCCGAGGAGACATAACTTTATTTCTCTCATCGCCATTGTAAATACCGCTTACATTATCCACGAAAGCTGTAAAATACGACCATTTCAAGAGCACAATCGTAAGATCACAAGATGAGAATCCATACTTCAATAGTACACAACGTGTAGACTGGATATCCAGCACTTTTTATGCATTCGCCTGTTGCATAGCGGTTGAACTATCAGGAAGAGCAGGAAATCTGTCTTTCACATCCGCTGGGTTTTAAGTCTAAATTTAGAGCACCATTTTGAGGCAGAGGGTGATAGGAAGAAGTTTAAAGGGGGAGGGAACATCTAGCAGCACTTGTCTCTAATCTAATTCAAGAACTATGAGTGATACGATTTAACGTCATCATGCACCCCCTTTTGTGTATCGGTCTCAACTATCAAGAGAGTTTTTTACAAGCAAGTTGCAAGTGACATCACAGTTTCTTGAAGGGAAATCCAACCTGAATTGCAAAATATTCTAAAACAAAGTAAAATAATTAGAGAAGCAGACTGATGAAAGTTTGAACGAAATCGGACAAAAAATAACTAAAAGGTTACTTCTTATCACTATGCGTACTTGGCTGATTCGTTAATGTCTGACGTAGGGCCGGACATTTTTCCCATTCGTTCAAACATACAAAACTGATGATTAAATTTCGATTTTATTTTTGTAAATATATGACTCGGCAGGCAGGTCTTTTGCTAGTACAGAGTTATTCTTTCCATATATTTTAGTAGTGCCCCAAAGGAGAAAGCACAAATTAATGAGCATTATGTACACTTTACAAAATAATTATAGATTTGTTTGTGACTCCGTCACACCGGCCATCCACTGCATGGCCAAATTGATGATTTGAGATTAATAGATTTAGTGACTCATAATGTGTGGCAAACATTCATAATTACTTTTTATTATTAATTGGTCCGATTTATTTAAACATTATTTATTAAACATATAGGCCTACTACTCTGTAAATGACATCACGTATTAGCACCAGTCAAAAATAGGCTGATAATGCAATACTGAAAGCATGCATTATGAAGTTGAACAATACTCAAATTTGATGAAAGTTAACGTTGCTTTCTGTGCCCCCTGGATCCGTCCTTGTAAAATGTAGAAAATTTGTTATCGGAAATTATATTGGAATAGATTATTAGACATATAGGCCTAGGTGATGAAATATATGTATATATTTTATATTGATATCAGACTGTAGTCAACATTTTCAAAACTTTCATGTGCATTGCAGTTAAAAGAGGGAGGAGTGTACCGGAAACGGGCCCCCTACTTTGAGGGTGGGGGACTGTGCCCTTAGTGGCATGGGACGGAAACCGCTCATCCACCTCTCCCCCTTTCACACACACACACACACTTTCTCTTTCTCTCTCTCTCTCTCTCTCTCTCTCTCTCTCTCTCTCTCTCTCCCTCCCTCTCTCTTTTTCTCTGTTTCGAGATCTAACTGAACCAATTATTATTATTATCTTTTTTTAAATGTTGCGTTTTAGCAGTAGGTTTTACCCTCCTACTATACACCAGTTGATCTGAGCTAATTCATGGAATTTTAAAACAGCCTCCTCCCCCCCCCCCCCCCACCAAAAAAAATAAACTAGCCATTCAACATTCACGGAGTGCCATTGGAAATTTTATCGATTATGATATACTAATGTGGACAATCATCATTATTTTAGCCTTTGTTATGGCAACCCGTAATAGCGGGGGGGGGGGATAATTCTTCAATTTTCACTAAAATACATGACCGGAGGGCCAGATTTGAACTTGCATAATGGAAACTTTTTATCTTTTGGAGTCATTTTTCTAGACTAATTTGAACATAATAGAGGCGTCGTGGATACTTCGACGGACTGTCGATCTTAAGGTCCGCGGTTCGAGTCCCGCCGCGGCACTAATGTCCTTTGGCAAGACATTGATCTACATTTGCCAAACTCAACCCAGGTGATGTAAATGGGTACCTGGCAGGAATTAATTCTTTGAAATTTGCCACACTCAACCCAGGTAATGTAAATGGGTACCTGGCAGGAATTAATTCTTTGAAATGAGAGCGCCGCAGTGGCTGCCTTGCTAAAGCCATGTAATCATCGGGGCAGCGCAAGGAGCGTCACGACGTGACGGACATGTGCGCTATACAAGAGGCCATTACTATTATTATTATTATTATAGAAATTAGAAAGAAAAAAAGTCTCATTCAATTAAATGTTTTATTGTACATAAGCATATTTTGATAACTTAAAATGCTTTATGTTTACACCGACAGTCAGACTCAATATTAAACATACATACATTAGTAAAATTCAATGCAAGATCAAACAATAATATTTAATATACACAAAAACAATAACTAGAAATAGAAATAAAATATTATAATTACAAAGCAAAGTATGAATATTAATCGTCACAACACTATTACTTATAGGGGAAATCAGGAACCTTAAACATGTCTTCATTGTCGTAAATAGGCGGGGGCACCACCCCCCTCCCAATCGAGTGGTAAAAACCTGAAAGGGAATGGGAAAGGGAGAAGGGGAAAGTGCAAGACAAGAAGACGATTGGACCACCTCTCTCTCCCTAATCAGTACTCTTGAAGATTCACATTTTAATTTCCAAGTGAGACCGATGTTCCATAATTATTCCAGTTCCCCCTCAATGGATGGGCCAACGCGATGCCACTATACATGTGTTCTTTACAAGTTATTTAGGATTTTTGTTATGTGTGTGTATATTATTTTGTGCGACAGTTGCATTACACAAAAAATAGGTAAAACTAAATAAAGAAGTGTGAAGTCATATACAAATATATACAAATATAATATAGTTTTGTGACATTTCATTTAGAAATTTGGAATCAATGGGCCTACATTTCAAATTGGGCAATACATTTAGGAACCCTCTCAAGAAAATAATAAATATTATGTACAACAACCGTGATCATCAAAATGAATTAATTCCATCTACTTTGTGCTCCATGAAGTACATGCCTTGCTTTCGTTCTAAAATTTCATTTATATTGCTCACTCGCATATCCGTTACCTAGGAAGACCAGTGCCCCCACACAGCCCCTCGATAACCAGAGCAGTAGTGCCCCTGGGCCCCATCATCAAGACTGAACCGATGTTCAAAACATTGACAATAACGGTGGGGTCCATGTCCCAAATAAAAATGAATACAAAAAGTTCGATCGTTTGGATTGTGAAAATATGAGGGCGTTCTCTACCGACGATATGCAAGGTAACAGATAGAGACGGCCTGGTAATTCTTCTTCTTTTGGCAATCTTACTAATTTATCACGAAGATGAACTAAACATTGGAAGCGGTGTGAGGAAGGCAAATGATCTTTATGGGATAAGGGCATTAAAAGCCTCAGGATTAGTCCATGGAAGTTCTCTGAACTAATCGTAATCATTCAACAATTATCTCTTAACCATATGCAACCAAAGTGCGGGGGTAGCGAATGGAAGTTTGATTTGATTTGATTTGATTTATGGATTTCTATATCATATTTCAAACAAACGTATTTTATATATGCATAATGTTCACCAGTGTGATATAATTTACGTGTCAAAGTACAATACATGATACTATACTGAATAGAACATAGACACATATGAGGTCGGGATGTTTCATCCCCATTCAACATAATTATCTTTAGGAAAGTTTTTGAATTTTTATACACTGTCAGCGAATTTTTGACATTATTTTACACAATCATAATTGTTTCTCTTAAAATATAACACTAAATTTGTCCAATCGTGCTCAATCTTGGTCATTATTCTTGTTGAGAAAATTCCTGATATAAAAAAAAAATCCTTACCGGTGTATATATTACAAAATCTGCTTTTGATTAGAAGAAATTATTTTAAATATGCAGTATCCAAAACAATTTTTCATAATACCATGGTTACATGAGAGAAAACAGAACTTAGTTCGCTTCGATGCCAAATAAAAGGCATGTCATATATAAATCATAAAACAAAACATCTCAAGTTAGGATAACATTCTAATAATAGACATGTTGTTTCTTCACACGTCATCTAATCTTAATTACGTAGGCCTATAATGGCGGATTTATGGATCCTCTATTTTGTGTGGACGCGATAATTATAGATCATGAGAACAAAAATAATTAAAATCAATGACGTCTAAGCATGTACATAGTTAAGAATACAACGAAGAATATTTTATCAGTTGCATTTCAGGGAATGCGTAAATTTATGGATAAATGGCAAAACTTGTCTCTTGATTAAAATAATCATTATTAATTTTAATATGATATCGGAAGAAAGTCAAACTTATATTTCTTTCAATCAATAAGTTTCCAAAGCCTACAACTGATTACTGACATCACAGTAACCAGTAGCTTTGATAAAATATCTACTACACGCATCAGCAGAACAGCTCTAGAAATAAAGCCAAGAACATTGATACATTTTTTTAAGAGTGGTTTAGCCAAAAACTGGTTTATAAAAATGGGGAGGGGCGAATTACTCCCGAATTGGGCTGCATGGTTGATAAGGGGGCTGGTCCCACACAATGCTGGATACGCCAATATGCAGCTCAGTTTTGGGCTTCTCGTCATCTCTCACGTATAGTAAGGGGCGTGTCAAAGATAGAACCGGTCGCGCTGACGAAGTCCGACTTCAGTGATGCATCGTATACGATAGGCATGGGTGTCCAATGCACTCCCACCAATAATGATTTGATTCTGTTAGACGTAACATGAACAGAGACAGCAGCCTGACGGTGGTGGTTGATCAGCTCTCCTTGAGCTTGTCGTTGTACGGAAGAGACTGGTCGTCTCTGTCCTGATATAGACCAAGTTATCTGGCAGCCGTCGTCCTAAGAGGAAACAGGTTTGAAATGCAAAGAATTACTAGAGGTGTGTTTGTTTGTTTGTTTGTTGTTGTTGTTGTTGTTTTTTTGTTTTTTTTTTGTTTTTTTTTTTTTTTTTTTGGGGGGGGGGGGGGTGTTATTTTGCTAATTGGATTTTTTTTGGACAAAGTTATCTGGCAACCGTCTTCCTGTAAGAGTATAGAGAGAACACAGATTGACGGGAGATGATCAAGGGGGCAGCGGGGATTTTTCTTTGGGCTTGTCAGAGATTTTTGTAGCCTGGCCAAACGGTACACTCCAAAAACCTGATGATTTGGCAGCCGTCGTCCTAAGAGGACAGAGGTTTGAAATACAACAAATGGCAAGAGGTTTTTTTTTTTTGGGGGGGGCTGTTCTTTTGCTAATTGGAGATTGTTTGGACTTGATTGAGGGTAATTTGGGTTTTCTGTTGTACACAGAAAAAGTATTTTTTGCATTCTTTCTATAGGATATGCTTCAGAGTTAATACATTTAACACAGACCACAACGCCTTTCTGCCTCTAAACTTTTCATGTTGAAATCAATTAACATTTAGATATCGAGTTGTAGGCCTACCTATTTCCAGGAGTATTTCTCGCATATTTACGCCTGTCTTGGCACTGGTTTCGTAAAAAGAAATTCCTTTCTCGGCGGCATAGCTTGACGAAAACCTGTTGGGGATTTCTCGCACGTCATCGTTGCAGTCGCACTTGTTTCCGACGAGGACAATGATGATGTCGGGTGGACCGTGCTTCCTCAGCTCCGAAATCCAATACGGGATGCAATCGAATGAACTCTGAGATTAAAAAGTGATATTTAATAGATTTCATATCGAAGTTCTATACATTTACATTATTTATGGAATAGATATATTATGTGGACAAGATAACCGATTGAAAGTTGATTATAGCATCTTCTTCCGCAGATGCTGTAAATCAGTGGGGTAATATTACCTTATGTCACACCCAATTACAATAGTTTGGTGCCTTGGTCCATCACATTTGTAAATAATGCGAACATTTCAAAGACATAGGTCTATTACGTAATCTGAACATGATTTCTATAGGCAATAATACAATATTAAAATTGCTCTTCTGTCGAGATTTATTGAAAGCCTTTGCAATCGTTTTCACAGGATATTAATCATTTCAAGTGTCATGTAATATGAGATACTCTTTACAATTGTTAACAGCAGATGTAGCTATTTTTCATTTCCTTCCTTTGTACCTGCCAAACACATTTCACATATGAGTGGTTTATTGCCGTTTGGTCTAAAACCAGTTCATAGTTCATAGTTCATTTTATTTCTTCTTTCACAAACATTTTTATATAGAATTTCAAATAAAGTAACTGGAACAGCAGATTATCAATATAACAAACATAATTTGAAGTGCAATAGTAATGTTCAACATACAACTCTTGTTATTAACAGACTAAAGAAATTCTATAAAAAGTTACTTATTTAAGATCATATGTTTTGTACATGAAAGAAAGAGGAGACCCGAAATAGACTGAATGGATAATAGAAGAACTTTTTATAGACCAAATGGCAATTCACCACTTGAGTAACTATTTTTATACTATAATCACAGTATATAATGATATAAGTTTCACATTCGAATATTTTACTAAAATATGAAGTACAAAGACTTAGGTATATGTACACACCTTGCACGTAATATCATACACTAAGATAGCTGCTGCGGCTCCCCTGTAGTATAAAGGGGCGAGTGCTCTGAACTGATAGAAAGCATACGAAACAAAATCATTGACATAATGATTAACGTTTTATTCACTATCACTCTTTACTCTCTTTCAATTTAAATTGTCTGGAAATGGGGCATGATGAAGGCATTGGGAGATTAAGACTGTTAGGGAGGAAATTTATAATCAATACTCGAATCCTTTTTTAAAAAATGTTATGAATAATGACGGAAAGAAGACTAGAAATATCTCTTGAAGGATAAATGTAGAAAGAGAAGGTTATCAACTACGAATAAACAAAATCAACTGTTTCTTTTTCAATCACACTTCTCTTCCTAAGTAGAAAGTCATTTGCTCACAGTTATTAACTAAAAATTGGTTTCATAAACCTCCGATGTAGTCTGGTGGATATAAGGATCACACAGTACTATCCTTCTCCTTATTCTGTCTTTTTCTTCTTTTTCTTTTCCTTAACCTTTCTCTTCTTCTTCTTTTTCCTGTCCTTCTTCTTCCTCTTCTTTTTCTACTACTACTTCTACTACTACTACTACTACTACTACTACTACTACTACTACTACTTCTACTACTACTACTATTACTACTACTACTACTACTACTACTACTACTACTACGACTACTACTACTACTACTTCTGCTACTACTTCTACTACTACTACTACTACTACTACTACTTTACTAATACTACTACTACTACTACTACTACTACTACTATACTACTACTAGTACTACTACTACTACTACTACTACTACTACTAGTAGTAGTACTGGTAGTAGTAGTACTACTACTACTACTACTACTACTACTTCTTCTTCTACTACTACTTCTACTATGACTACTACTACTACTACTACTACTTTACTACTACTACTACTACTACTACTACGACTACGACTACTACTACTACTACTACTTCTACTACTACTTCTACTACTACTACTACTACTACTACTACTACTACTTTACTAATACTACTACTACTACTACTACTATACTACTACTAGTACTACTACTACTACTACTACTACTGGTAGTAGTACTACTACTACTACTACTATACTACTACTACTACTACTACTACTACTACTACTACTCTACTACTACTACTGCTGCTACTACTGCTACTACTACTATACTATACTACTACTACTACTACTGCTACTACTACTACTACTGCTACTACTGCTACTAATACTACTACTACTACTACTTCTACTACTTGCCCTTTCTTTTCCTGCAGTGTCCCAAACTAAAAATGTGTATTCTCGATTACCATCAACCATGTGTTTGGTCGTAAACGTTGCACTGCAGTCATCATCAAAATTGTACCATGCAAGGAAAAATATAGAGAACATATAAATCAAATTTGAGAGATAGGCAGTTAGGCACGAACAAATACAAGATTAATTAACAGTGTACAAGTGCGAGAACCATATTTTCTCGCTACACTGTACTAATGAAATCAAGTTTGATAGAGTCTTTAAAAACAGGAAGTGTTATTTGAAATGCAGGAAATATTTGTAATATAGACTTAAGGGGACTTTCATCACGAGTGCTAGCTATTACACACACAACAAAAAGGAAAAAATACCACCACCTTCACCATGACGATTTTCCATATGACAATGATTATCTGAATATGTGAATGTGTCAGCTGGTTATATTTTATTTTCTTCAATTTTTGCAATAAATTTCCTTCTTAAAATAATGTTAATAGGAAGTATTGTATTGATCGTGTTAAGATTTATTGCAACATGTATTAAGAATCCAAACAAATAGCGCACAGAACACTTAATATCAGCTTTGTATAAGCCTTTAGTATGCGGAGGCCATTGTATCAATATTATCAATGCATACGAATGAAATACAATACTGAGATTTGTTGAACTTAGAATCGCTTGCGATCAGGGGCGTAGCGACAGGGGCTATTACAGTCATGTATATGACAAAGGGGGAAGCGAGAAAAGTGGGGAAAGAAGGGAAGTCTGGGGGAAATGGAAAGTGCAAAAAAAAAAACTCTATGATCCCCTGGACGGCCATTCATTATGGCTCAAGGCATGGGCACACAGAGGATTTTTTTTATGTTGGGAACCGGGGTAAAATGCAATAAATTATTGAAAATGTATTGCATTTTCTGTGTTTTTTATTTTATTTATGGAAACTGCCCCCTACCCTAGCCCCCACTGCGTACAGTCATGGTTCAGTGACAAAGCAATCATGCCTCTTAACTGTGAGGCCCCAGGATCAAAACCGTGTTGATGTGCTATATTAGTGCCCTTTTGTGGGGCATTAATCCTCATTACTGTCATTTATGACTTAAGGGCGTAGGTCCACTAGTTGATAAGCATAGTAGCATACACATGCTTTAGCAGTCACGCAAAACACACATTGTCAAATTATTATTCAATAAAATCTGAGAATGTATACTATTATCTAGATCTATTATTTTTAAATTATTTTTAAAATAATTCCATAAATTGGGGTAAAACAAAAAAATTCCAACTATATGAGCGACAGTGTATTTAAACTGATTGTGAAAAAGGAAAAAATGTGATGGAATCAAGATTTGATGCTACCCTTACCCTATAGTTGCTTGATATTTATCATTGAATTGGTCTCTTTGTAATCTGCCGGCGATGCTTGATTTCCCAACGTTCAACTCCTGTTGTTAAAAAATATATTGAAAAAGACCACCAAATTACAGTACATACAGCAAAATAATGAAAGACAATATAGCATAATGTAGCACGATTATGAATGCCTTTCTATCCGAATAAACAAAGGACTTTAATACAAAATAATTAACATAACATTAAAGATAACAGTCGGCTCACGCATGAAAAATGCTACCTACCTCCACCCCCCCCCCCCCCCCCCCCTCAGTGGTGTACGCAGGATTTTTTCAAGGAGGGTGATATTTCGCTCGGGGGGGGGATAGTGGGCAACAATTTCTTTTTTCTTTTTTGCCCCCGAAATTTGAAAATCGCTCCGACCGATATTTCGATAAGTGGGGGAGGGGGGGGGGGGTAAGGAGTAGTCATTTTGTTTTCAATAACACAATTGAGGGGGTAACCCCCCCCCCCCCCCCCCCACCCCAACTGCAATCTCCGACGAGCAATGCTGATGATATCTTTAACTAATATTAATGGGGTTCGTGTTTTTTTTTAATGTCAAATCAAGAAAATTGAAATGAAGAGCTTGACATGAAACATTTTTAAAAAATCACATGTCCCTCCGTGATTGATAACAAATATGAAAAAGAAAATTCGTGCACCAACTGTATTCACGCGTGTAACCTTCGTTTAGAGACCTAAGTCTGATATAATATCATGTGAGTACAGATAATTATCTTACCCCTAAAAGAACAATTTTCGCTCCTTCTTCGTCCATGTTGAATTCGGATTAAAAGAGAATGTTTACAGTACCGTAGGAACAAGCTAAAACTCTTGCAAACAAGTGATGTATACGAATGGAAAATGACTGTTGCCAGTTCTTGCCACACGTGAATGGACGTCCGAACCGGTATCCAATGTAAAACTGTCAATTAATGTTTTGGCCAACTTTCATTTATATTGTGCAATAACAAGTCTGTATATTTCCGTATTAGATATGCATGCGAGCATGATAATAATTGATGACTGTAGGTAATTCATATAAGTATGTCCTTCACATCTTTCAAAAGCTAGCGTCCAACTTTCAGTTTTGATTCAAGACAACTGACACCGTGACATGGTCGAACATTATTTTAAAGGCACATCGCTGACGAGCTAGAAACCATGAAAAAATGCCAGAAGAAGGTATTGAATGAGGGTGTCATTATCAATATCGACCGGCGCTTATTTCAAATTTTCGTGGGCAAAAAGAAAGAAAGAAAGATATAGCTCCTTACCCGCCCCTCTCGAATTGGGCCCCTCCCTTGCCGCCGGCTGGATCCGCCCCTGCCCCCCCCCCACCACCACCCCCTCCACCTGCCTCCCTTTCCCTCCGACAACGCCTACTGATTTTATGTCATTTTTTTTTCAAGATAGATATCATATCGTTTCGTTATGGGATGTTTTGTGCTTAAAGAGGGGATGGATAATGTGGCTGACGTAATTAAACAAAATATATATGTAATAATGAAAGGAGGAAAGCATAAAAGAGGAAGTGAAAGTTCGGTGGAGCTTAAAACAAAGGGGACAAAGGAAGGAACAAAGTTATATTAAACCAAAGAGAGGGTACTCTGTGGCACAATAATATTAAGCATCTCATTTCTTTTTCTCGCTCATTTTCAGACACCCGAGTATGGACAACTGAATAAAATCTGCGTCGCCTGTGAGGTATTGAGTAATGGTCAACAAGGGGGCACAAATTAGTGGGATATGAAATTTAAGAGCTGGAAATGATGAGATTTCTAAATGATTATGGTAGTTAAGAGTGAAGAAAGGAAGAGGTAGGTGATCATACGCATGCGGTAATTTTTTTTTTAGAGATCTCAAAAGAAGTAGTTTGCAACTTAGTTTCATCTGTTCCGTCTGTCCATTGATTAATATCAAGCAAAACAAACCCTTTTCCCCCCATCTTTCTTCCGTTTTGAATAAAAGACATTTCAGTGTTAGCTCACTTTTTAAAGATAATAATTGTGTCAGGCCAAATTTAAATTTTGCGAAAACATGATCAGCTTTCACCACTAAGTTCGGTATTAATGGTTGAAGAACAAGCAAATCTGAGATACAATAGTTTTCAGGATCAGCCCCTGGCTCAGAACTGCCTCAACCCCATCCCTACTGCTTTGGAGCAAAGTCTTTTTTTAAATTAAATTGTACATTTCGTTATATTTCTTCATCAGTTCAGATCGTGAAAACTAAGTCCCCCCCCCCCCCCCCCCCCCCCTCCAACCCAGTGAAGAAAAAGTGTTATGTCCCTTTAAATTTGAATACACTGCACGGTGTAATACAGTAACCCGGATGGCCTTATAAATCACATACAACTTTAGACAGCAAAATCTACATGTATATCAAATTGGCCCCTTAACCTTTTTAAGTTTTGACGATCTACTGATAAATCAAAAGCAGCAAGGTATAAAGAGAAGAGGGCAATATGTTCACAATAAAAATACAGAGAAATGTTGTTTTTGAGTGGGTAAAGAGTATGGGTTTTATTTGCAGATGAATCATAATACATGTACAGTACATTCAAAGTGAGCAGCATACTTTGGGGAACACACTTGCAGGAAAGAAATGTAGTGTCAGAGACAAGTTTGTCCAAATGATTATTTAAGATGACAAAAATTAATTCCATATGCTAATTAGGAAAAGGGAATTTCATACTCCCTAATGTACGGATAAACATGATTAATAACTTAGAACTAATGAACAGTTTGATCATTTACATGTATCTCTTTAAGAAGGTAGACAAACTATTTAGTTTTCAGACATGAGTAGTATTTGTTGCAATAGACAGATACAGTAGGACTTAGGGTACTTTCATTCCTAAAACAGAAAGAACCCCCATTAAAAGACTTCTAATCAATTCATCAAAAATTCATTTTAATAGTATATACTAAATCCATGTCCAGACTGGCTTAATGTAGCCCCAGAAATGTTTTTATTTACATCTGTCTTTCATGATTATTGTTTGTCCACTCATATAGGAGTTACTTTACGAGCAGCAAACTAATAGGAATTTTTTTCTTTTTCTTTATTAAATAAATAGATTTTGATGTTTTGATAATGGAAACAATGTGTAATAAAGCAGCTGTAGCACAAAATTCAACAATGGAAATAAACCGAAGTCAATGCATGACAAAAGAACGTTGTCAAAAAGCAGTGTCTTTTGCATAGAAAAATAGAGCTAATCTAAACTAAAACTTAATTTGTTTTCATGGATGTATACCTCAAGTGCTTCATCTTTAGAAAATCTAAGTCATCAACTAATATATTTATCTACAGTTTGCAAACAGATATAATCACACATCATTCTAAGAATACTGAAATCTCTATTATAGTGCTGCAACCAGAAAAGGGGATAGCTCAAGAAAAAACATGAAAGAATGTGACGGATTATTTTACAAATGACCAAATACTGTTACTCAAATGTACTGGTGCCAGTGAGAAAGATGCTGGTCGATTACAATATTCAATGTACTTTTCAAAACCACTCAGATTAAAAATACATGTACATCAACATTATTTCATTTCATCATCGATATATGCTAGTAGTTATTTGCTTTTGTTATACAATAGTTCAGTACTAATCAAAGCTAGGTTATCATATTCACAACTACTAAATCTATAATTTATTACTGAATTTCAAATGGAAGAACTTTTCATCTTAATATGATAACTACGTTGTACATGTATACACAGCAATTTTTTTTATTTCTAATCACCTCATTTCACTAATCGTAACTCATTTACTGTTCACTCAGTCACTGCTTTTGACACTTTTATAGCAACTACATTTTTACATTATTTACATCATTAAACAAACAACAAATTATGGGGGGGGGGGGGGGGGATAACACTATAATTGTTTGAATACATGACACATGCTCATTATTTCAACACTATGTTTAGCTTTAACATGGATAATCGGTGAGGTGATGGAACATGGTAACTTTATTTCTGGCAACTTTCACTGTTTAAATAAATATGCAGCTAAGGACTGCTTTGATGTCCTGGTGAATTCATGAAATAAACCTATAATGAGGGAGAAAGGGCCATTAATGCTCTTATTATGTTAAAAAACAGTGTTTTTATCTCTCTATTGAACATGTGACATTTCGAAATGATGATAATCTATCTTTCCCGAAGACACAAAGGCCTGTATTCAACTCAAATGCAAACCCGATGCCGGGATTACAAAATCTGTTTAAAATCGGGTTTAACTAAGAAGGAAGTATGAGGTCTCAGGCCCTGTTCTCATTACATTACAACAAAAGCATAATATCTGAGGTAAGAACGTGTCAACACCATTTTGATCTGCCCATTGACTACTTTCTCCAGGGCGATCCAGAATGACGGACCGCTAGAGCACCTAGATAGCACGATCTACATGTAGAGGGAACCACATCAAGCTATCTCTCGTAATGAGAACGGTCAATTCAAGTAATGGTGATTCTTTCTTGTTCATGTTTTATACAATGCTCAAACATGAATGGATAGGCAATACCTATACATTGAAAAGTATTATTGAATAATGCATGCACAGATAAATAAAAAGCGTCATTGAAATACCATAGTCAGCATTGCCAACTACCTGTCTGCATGATTGCTAAAATCTAGAACTGAAAAAATTACTAAATAATGAAATAGCAATGTACAAAATCCCCCTACTACAAGTATGTACAGGTATTTACAATTCAAACTTTTAAAAATGAGGCAGTTACCTGTTTGTTAGAGGATCTCGTAATTGGAATTCATGTGATATCTGAGAGCAGCCATGCGTTTTGCAACTTCCAGGTTTGTATCATTGATTATTATTCCCATATAATTAACACTAAGATTATTTACAGTTGCAGAGTTATGGAAATTATAAAAGATATACCCTCAATCCTGTCTAATTCACAATCCACCGCTCCACCCCCCCCCCTTTTTTTTCCCCTCTTCAGCCTTAATTAACAGATATAACAATTAAAGATTTACATAAATAAATTTAATGAAAACTCTGTAAAAGCATTAACGACATATAGAGTAAAGGGTGGGTATACTGTACAGAGCACAATCTGCAACTAAAAACTGAATTTGGCAGTAGTCATACATGTAGATAGGAAAATAACTAATATAAAGAAATAATGCATTATATTAGGAACCTAAATTTTTGTTATTTTAAACCTGTTACATCAATACTGTACTATAACTGCTGGTAAGATTACATGGAATACTCAATTCACAATCTATTTAAAAGGCCTTAGCAGAACTTTTCAGCTTTAATGAATTACTAAACATGATCTTTTTCTTCCGATTCCTGTAAGCCTCATTATGGTCAAATGAAGCGCGGAAGAGGTGGGTGGTATACCACGATAACCTACCACCGCGGCATCATGGCAGCCACCAGATGATGTACAGCATGGTCTGTATTCACTATCTGCTCAACGACGGGTGTAGGGATATTACTGTGGGTGGTAGGATGGATGGGTACAGCATGGATCTCCAGAGGCACCGGGTGCAAGGGTGGTTTGGGCTGCTGGCTGTGTAGTACAAGAGGAGGTGCTAGAGGAGTGTGGGACTGTGGCGGATGCCCATGGTTGGCTTGCTGTTGCTGCTGCTGCTGCTGCTGTTGTTGCTGTTGATGCTGCTGTTGTTGTTGCTGCTGTTGCTGTTGTTGTTGTTGCTGCTGTTGTTGCTGCTGCTGCTGGTGTTGCTGCTGCTGTTGTTGTTGGATCTGATGGTACTGTTGCTCTGATATGACTTGGGCCATGTCATTGCCTGCTGCGATGATCTGCTGGGCGACAGACACCGGTGGCACACTGCTGTACTCTATCATGGGGTGGTGACGGATGATCTGGTTATCAGCACTGAGCTTCACATGGTGTGGCTGCACATCATGAGCTGGTTCCACATTCACCATCTACACATTCAGAAATATAACGAACACATATCATTTAATGGAAAGGAAATTGCATCCATTTCACGACAAAATGACAGATAATAGAAAATTATCCATTCCTATTAACTGTCAAAGAATGTGCCTAATCTCTGTAAACTACAAAAGTTCGCTGCAATATTTGAATGGTTTTCATTCAAAATTTTCATAAAAACATGAAAATCAAGTTATTTATATGACATACAGAATCACAAAAAATATTTCTCTTATGCATTATGCATGTACTTTCAGTCATTGAAGTTGCATTCTCTAAACAATAATGCACAAATAGATAAATAGGACTGTGTCTCTAACATGCCCCACAGTAGATTCATTATTTACCTTTGTAACCGTCAATATTCTTATTTTTAAATCTGTAGTTTCATATTAAACATAAATCCATTACTGTACCTATGGAGCTCAAATGTTTGCAGGTGTGCATTTATCACTTATTTCTCAAAATGACTCAAGAGTAAAAATGGAAATCCAATTACATTGCTAATCACCACCGAAAAATGTATTAACACATTTCTGTTTTACATTCTCAGTTTTCTTCAGATATTTAAAAAATTAATTATTTTGGCAAGGCTATTTGCAACTTGAGGTGTCAGTTGTGAAGTCTTTTGATCTACCGAACCAGGGAGTGTTTCACAAAGATCCTAAGTTGAACTTATCTCTAAGTTGGACTTAAAATTATGGAAAGCCATTAGCATCTTTGAAAATATTTTGTAAAGTTATTTTGGAATGTATTAATTCTTTATTCAAATCATTCATATTTTCTATCATCAAGGAGATTTCATGTTCTTGATGTGGAATTTATAAAAAAGTCGAAAATACTTGAATTTCTGCTTTTGAATATATTTCATTTTAAGACTCCAATGGCTGTCTATAATTTTTAAGTCCAACTTAGAGTTAAGTTCTTCTTAGGATCTTTGTGAAACACCCCCCTGGCTCAGGCTCGCTAGAAAACAGAAAACTGGCAGTGATTCATTCATGCTGAGAGCGTGTCAAAATCTCCACAAAATTTAAAAAAAACAATAGCTGCAGTGTAGAATAGATTTTTCTTTTATATGCCAATAGAGCTTGGCGTAAATATTCAAAATTGAAAGATACACGCAATAACAACTTTAACAACAACTCTTGTTTACCTGTATGACCATTCCCTCGTGATTGATGACCGAGGCAAAGGCAATGGCAGTGTGTGAGCTTGAGGAGGAGGTGGAGCTTGAGCCTGTGGTTGTTCTTGTTCTACGTGAGTCACCGTCACTGTTACAGGAACCTCCTGCACAACAGACCTATTGGCAAGGATCACACCGCTCGGAGGCTCTGCATACTTGGGACGACTCCTCTTGGCTTTGGGCCTCGAGGTCGGCGACGATGGCGAGGTAGGGTCTTTCCCTTGGCCACGCTTTTTGCCGGAGGGAGCGCGTAGAGGCGTGGGCATGTTGAGGTCATCTATGTTGGACAGGACACTGACGGGAAACTCTGGCATCTGATCTCCAAGGATCTTTTGGTGGTTCTCCACATGCTTCCACATGTTGCCGTTGTAGGCAGCTGTCCAGCCACACACGTTGCAGCGGTAGGGGCGAACCTTGGCGTGCTTGCTCATGATATGCTCAGACACAATCTTATTGGTTGCACCTGAATGCATGTAAGAGAGGAAGAGAAAGAGAATGTTACCTCTAGTTTTATTGGCTATGACTATTAAAGGGAATATGAAGTTCAATTTTGTGTATGTATCTAATCCAATAACAGAAATTACTTTCTAAAAGCTAATGTTAAATATCACCTATCTAAACATAACTATAAGATGTCACAAAATAAAAGAAATCAATGAAAGTGCATTATTATTTAAGAATAAAGGTATTTTTGACTTCTGTCATACATGTTAATACAGCCTAAAAAGACCAGTATCACTCAATCATGGTTTGAAGAAAAAAATAATAATCAAGTCTTCATGTCCATTCCAGTACAGGAAAAAGAAATCGCAGATTATTTGCTAAATTGCAGATCCCTAAATCTTACGCAGCACATTCAGTGAGTATGATCTAGTAATGGACAAGATACTTGGGCAGAAGAGCAATACGATCTCTATAGCATATTCTTTATAATTTATGCTGTAAATATCTGGAAAACTGAGTGTAGCATCCATTTTCTAAATGAGGAATGCTTTTTATTATGGAATCCAAGTATGGTATAGGTGAGACCTTACCTTTGAAATCACAGTGAGGACACTTATTGGGTTGCAGCCCTTCATGAGTACGGACATGCAGTACTAGATTGTTCTTTGTCTTGCTGGCATACGGGCAGAGGTGGCATTTGAACTGGCGATTCTCCTTGTGAATGCGGGAGTGGTATTCGAGACTCTTCGGCTTGCGGCCCACATAGTCACACACTGTACAGGCATAGGTGGGAGTTGGCTTCGGTCTTCCATAGCTGTCCTTATTCAGCAAGAGGCCGTGCTTGTGCTTGATGTGTTCCTGCGGAATTATGAAATACAAAGTATGTATCAAATGACATGTTACCAAATAGGCGATAAAGAATAGGACACATGGGGACAAGTCAAAGGATGAATAATTGAACATCCAGTCCTGAAATAAGTAAAGTTCAAGTACTTTAGAAATCAGTGATGCCAGTTAGAATTGATCAGAGGGTCAGAAAGTCACCTAGAATGAGCTATTTTGTACACAAAAAAAGCCTTGACTATTGTCTGTAGATAACTTGCCAGGGCCTGAATACAGGCTAATGCCTGAAAACTGGCATCCCTGAGGAATATATTACAGATGGCCAAAATGAGAGAAGTCATGGGAAATTTTCTTTTATGATCTAAAAGCTAAAGAGTTCTGATTGGCAACAACATTTAAGTTTGATATTCATCTAATATTATCTCAACCTACTGCAAGCCCATGAAATTCAAAACTATTCAAAACCTTCTCTTCTTTTTTTGTCTCATTGGCTCTCACCTTGAGGATGCCTTTGTCAGCACACTTGTAGTCACAGGACATGCAATGGTGTTTCTTCTCATCTTCTGAAGCATGGATACGCCTGTAGTGTATACGCAAGTTGAAGGGCGTGGTGGTGCGCCTGCCACACAGCTCACACATATAGTTCTTTGCGCCTGTGTGGGTGACCAGATGTTTCTTCAAGTCGTGGTAGTGGTTGGTTGAGAAATTGTTGCACTCGTCGCAGCGATGCAAGTGCAGCATCCTCTTGTGGACAGTGGCTAAGTGATTACGCATGGTTTCTTCTTCAGAGGCATTGTATTCTGTGCACTCTGTACAGTAGATTATATCCTTGGAATTGTCCTTGTAATGTGCATCCTTGTGAGATAACATCTCCCCTTCATCCTTGAATCTGGCAAAGCAGATAGTGCATACATGGACCTTGTAGCGCTTAAACTTTTTCCTACGAGGCTTTTTTGGATTTGGCTTACTAGTAGTATCATTCTCTTCCTCTTCTTCTTCCTCTTCTTCTTCTTCTTCATCTTCAACATCTGCAGTGCGCTTATTACCACGTTTTCTTGCAATTGACTGCCTGTCAGCCTCATTTTCAGGGGCTTGCATGAACTTGTCATACTCTGATGGATCAAAGTCCGGACTCTTTAGCCTTGCTAAAAGCTGTGGCTTGAAGTGTGCTTTGATGGCATGACTCTGCAGGAGCTTAGTGCCAATGCATGGAAATACCTTCTCACAGCCTTCAAAATCACACGTGGCAGCATTCAGCTTCGAGTTGTGATCAGACCGATAGTGGACCCTCATTTTGGCCCAGTGGAGACTGATGTAACCACATTCGCAGCAACGAAATCCATCAAGATTTGGAACATGACACTTCTCATGGACAGCCATCTCATCTACACTCATTACATTGGCACATCTATCGTTTGGACAGCGGATCATTTCTATCGCATCCCGCTTTTCTTTGTAGTTCTTGAACCATGATTCCACTCTATCGTCTAAGATTCTATTAAAAACATAGTATGGAATTGGCAAATTCTTCTCATCTGACCTCTTTCTTATATCAATCTTTGTTTTACGTGGTGGCTGTTTAGGAGGAGGTGGAGGAGCACTCTTCGGCTTAGATTTCTTAAATCCAACCATCGGCGGACGTCCACGCTTCCCTTTCTTGCGTTGCCTTCCACGTCCTTTATTCAGTATGGAAGGTTGGCGTACATAGATGGTTTTGGACGGTTCAGGCTCTTTCCTGGGTAGCCATTCATCTTCTTCTTCATCATCATCCATGGAATACTTGATCGGGGTAGCCTTCTTCCTCCTCCGCATCCCTCTGCCAAAACCAGGACCGGCATCTTTCTCCAGCTTCCTTTTAAGGATTTCATCTAAGGTCTTGGTTGATTTCTTCTCCTCTTCTTTTGCCTGCTCTTCACTTATCACGTCCTCATTATCTGATTCCACTGCTTTTTGCTCCTCTTCCTTTTCTTTAGTTTCTTTTACAGTTTCAGTCTCGTTCTTGGATGCTTTTGAAGGAGTTGCCTTGCTGAGGGAGACATACTGCTCTATGTGTTCTGTCAGGAAATGCTCTGCAATCTCAGTCTTGCTACCTCCAACAAAGTTGCAGAGCCTGCAGTTAAACTGCGTATCATCACTGCTTGTGCTCATCTTGATGATTTCTTGTTACTGGAAATAATAAGCATAAAAGAAAAATAGATATGTTAATTATCTGACTTATCATTTAGTTTTTGGTACTTCTAAAATTCTGACAAGGTCATAAAAGCAAAACTGTTCTTAAATTAATCTTAGAACAACAACTTGTTTTTATGTTTACTAAAAGTGTATACCCTTTGTTAGAAGTAACATTTGAAGCTTACATTTATAATACAAAATATAGCAACATTAAACCCCTTACATCAAGTGCAAGTTTTAATGATTGGTATACTTGAGTTTAATCCTAGTTAGGACTAACAGCACTAACTATAATATATAAACATTGATTTAGGAATAACTTAGTGAATTGATATTATGTATAAATATCAAAGTATAGCCAATTTCTTCAACCCCTCACCAGAATTCGTACATGAGTCATGAACCCCCAGCATTAAGTTCAAGTTTATTCAAGTTTATGCAAGTAACAGGGTGGCATGCCCTGCTGACATTCTGTTTGGTATTTACAGGTATACACTTCACTTTTTAAAATTTCCATACAAAAAAAATAACAATAATCTGGGTAATTAAAATCTCCATGTAGGCATACTAAAAAATAAAAAATTGAGGGGATGAGCTCCTGTGATTAAACTGCATTTCCACAAGAAACTGGGTTAACATAATTCTGATTTGATCAGCAAAGTGCAAAAAAAAAAATGGACATACATGTAGAATGGAATCCCATCATGCACTAAAATTGGTATTCTATTATTCGCGTCAAGGTTGGGAGTCTTAATTGGGACAATCACAATACTGGTAGCTTGATTTTCTCTCCTTCTTTTGCTCAGTACTCAGTGTGCACACTATAAGTATGATATTTGTTGCAATTCATATGTTTTTATACAAATTTTACAGCCCCTGTATGAAAATAATATTTCTTCATCATATTAAAGGGACTTGGTAACATTGTTCAGATAAAAGAAAATGGTGCTAGATTAAATTAAAGATAATCTGAGAGTTTGAGTGAAAACAAATCAATATTAATGATAGAAATTGGGAATAATTAACTGATCTGATCGATTCCTTAATTCTCTCAACTATGTTATTACAATTTTATTACATTTTCGGTGAATGTTAATCAGCACAAAGCAATGAATTAGCTCTTCATGTATACCATATTCCAGACATTTAGGTGTTGGAAAGATTTTTAAAGCCCTTTTTATGTCTTATTTTCATGGAAAAACCGTTGGGAAAATTCAAAATTAGTTGGGAGAATTTACTGTGTTAGAGGGTGTTACACAGTGAGGCCTTCACAGAAAACCATGAATAGAGAATTTTTAAAGAATTTTAGCATGTACAGTAGGACTGTAGGAGGAATATAATAAGTCACATTTCATACAAAATTACAGTTTTTTCATCATACTTCAACAATGACCAATGTTACCGAGTCACTTTAAAGTTTATCATATTTTTGTACACAAAACACAGAGCTTGCAAGAAATGTCAGTGTTGCTAATTTGCATTTCACTCATGACAATTAACTTTAAAAATTCATAAATGTCCTCTTTTTAATCTGGTTTTGGTTGCTCAAACTTTCACTTATTTCAGAAATTCCTCTTTGCTTGCAACAGCCACCTAAAATTGAAAAGTCAATTTTGTGGACAATTCTTCATGACATTTCTTCCACTTTGAAGAAATAGAATAACCTCATCATTGGCTTTCCTTTTTCAGTACATTTAACAACTAAATCAACAACAGCCAATCTCAAAACAGATAACGAGAAATGCATCATCCATCAATCGCTCTGCTAGCTGGCTTTTTGCCTTGTCAGCTCAGTACTTTAATAGTCTACACACACAGAACAGTACAGACGTGAACATGCACACACACACTCGGCCTCTTCGATTCGGTCAGGATGCACTCACTACATATAACACGGCATGAATAGAATGCTACGTTCTCTCCATACAATACACTGTAGTGTACTCACGAGTCGAATACACTGCAACTGCCCACAATCACAACCCAATTACCGTGCAAAAACCACCTCAAAAACACATTGATCAGCTACTTTCGACTCAAAATATTCAATATAAATGTACTATGATTAGTCTCGTAGCTTACCTACTTGAAATCAAGGCTCAAACTTCCACAGAAATGGAATATGGATGGGTAGCTTTCATCAGTCCGTCACAATTTTTAGACTACGACGCCATTTGCTAGACTCTTTCTGAGACCTCACACGCGCAAAATGCTAATCGTGAAATCCGACACAACTTATATAAATGCGCATGCGCGGAACCACCCTTGCGTGCGGCGTGCAAAACCATGTTTTCAACGTAGACTACTAGTATTATGCCTTTTTGTTTTGTATTTTAGATTAATTATCGATCTTCAAACTTGTAAGCAAACTAGATTTGTATCCAAAACCAGGCGCGGATCCAGGATTTCTTAGGGGGGGGGGCCCAAATTTGAAATTATGCGAGCCAAATATTGGTACGTTATGGTGACCAACAGTGACGTAATGGGGGGGGGGGGGGGGGAGGGCGAGTTTCCCCCTCCCAGGCTTTGACGTTTCATTATATTATTAGAAAAAGAAGACGATTTGTTGTACCGTTCTCTAAAATAATTCTCATCTGAATTTAGTTTTTCTCCTCCCGCGCGAAGCGCGGAAAATTTTACGATTTATTAAATTATTAGAGAAAGAAGACGATTCGTTGTACAGTTCTCGACTCTTAATCCTTGTCTAAATTCAGCCCCCCCTCCCCCTCCTGCGCGAAGCGCGGAAGCTTTGACGTTTTATTAAACTATCAAAGAAAGAAGACGATTCGTTGTACCGTTCTCGAAAATAATTCTCGTCTGAATTTAGTTTTTTCCCCTCCCGCGCAAAGCGCGGAAATTTTACGACTTATTAATTATTAGAGAAAGAAGACGATTCGTTGTACAGTTTTCGACTCTTAATCCTCGTCTAAATTCAGTCCCCCCCCCCCCCTCCCCCTCCTGCGCGAAGCGCGGAAGCTTTGACGTTTTATAAACTATTAAAGAAAGAAGACGATTCGTTGTACCGTTCTCGACCCTTTATCCTCGTCTGATTTCAGTTCTCCCCCCCCCCTCCCGTGCGAAGCGCGGAAGCTTTTACGTTTCATTAAATCATTAGAGAAAGAAAACGATTCGTTGTACAGTTCTCGACTCTTAATCCTTGTCTGAATTCAATTCCTCCCCTCCCCCTCCTGCGCGAAGCGCGGAAGCTTTGACGTTTTATTAAACTATTAAAGAAAGAAGACGATTCGTTGTACCGTTCTCGACTGTTAATCCTCGTCTGAATTCAGTTTCCCCCCCCCCCCCCCCTCCCGCGCGAAGCGCTAAAGCTTTTACCTTTCATTAAATCATTAGATAAAGAAGACGATTCGTTGTACTGTTCTCGACTCCTAATCCTTGTCTAAATTCAGCCCCCCCCCCCTCCCCTCCTGCGCGAAGCGCGGAAGCTTTGACGTTTTATTAAACTATTAAAGAAAGAAGACGATTCGTTGTACCGTTCTCGACTGTTAATCCTCGTCTGAATTCAGTTTCCCCCCCCCCCCTCCCGCGCGAAGCGCTAAAGCTTTGACGTTTTATTAAACTATTAAAGAAAGAAGACGATTCGTTGTACCGTTCTCGACTCTTAATCCTTGTCTAAATTCAGCCCCCCCCCTCCCCCTCCTGCGCGAAGCGCGGAAGCTTTGACGTTTTATTAAACTATTAAAGAAAGAAGACGATTCGTTGTACCGTTCTCGAAAATAATTCTCGTCTGAATTTAGTTTTTTCCCCTCCCGCGCAAAGCGCGGAAAATTTTACGACTTATTAAATTATTAGAGAAAGAAGACGATTCGTTGTACAGTTTTCGACTCTTAATCCTCGTCTAAATTCAGTCCCCCCCCCCCCCTCCCCCTCCTGCGCGAAGCGCGGAAGCTTTGACGTTTTATTAAACTATTAAAGAAAGAAGACGATTCGTTGTACCGTTCTCGACCCTTTATCCTCGTCTGATTTCAGTTCCCCCCCCCCTCCCGTGCGAAGCGCGGAAGCTTTTACGTTTCATTAAATCATTAGAGAAAGAAAACGATTCGTTGTACAGTTCTCGACTCTTAATCCTTGTCTGAATTCAATTCCTCCCCTCCCCCTCCTGCGCGAAGCGCGGAAGCTTTGACGTTTTATTAAACTATTAAAGAAAGAAGACGATTCGTTGTACCGTTCTCGACTCTTAATCCTCGTCTGAATTCAGTTTCCCCCCCCCCTCCCGCGCGAAGCGCTAAAGCTTTTACCTTTCATTAAATCATTAGATAAAGAAGACGATTCGTTGTACTGTTCTCGACTCCTAATCCTTGTCTAAATTCAGCCCCCCCCCCTCCCCTCTTGCGCGAAGCGCGGAAGCTTTGACGTTTTATTAAACTATTAAAGAAAGAAGACGATTCGTTGTACCGTTCTCGACTGTTAATCCTCGTCTGAATTCAGTTTCCCCCCCCCCCTCCCGCGCGAAGCGCTAAAGCTTTTACCTTTCATTAAATCATTAGAGAAAGAAGACGATTTGTTGTACAGTTCTCGACTCTTAATCCTCGTCTGAATTCAGGTTCCCCCCTCCCGCGCAAAGCGCGGAAGCTTTTAATCTTCATTTAATCATTAGAGAAGAAGACGATTCATTGTACCGTTCTCGAAAATAATCCTCATCGGAATTTAGTTCCCCCTCCATCCCGCGCGAAGCGCATAAGCTTTTACGTTTCATTAAATAATTAAAGATTCGTATTACCGTTCTCGCCTCTGAATCCTCGTCTCAATTCAGTCCCCCCCCCCCCCCCCCTCCTCCCCTCCTGCGCGAGGCTTCGACATTTTATTATTAGAGAAAGAAAACGATGCGTTGTACCGTTCTCTATACTCTTAATCCTTGTCTGAATTTCAAAGAGGTGGGGTCGAGGCGGCGGAGCCGGCCTTGGAAGCTCAGGCGTTTTAGGCGTTTAATTAAGGTCAGATGAGCATATTTTTGTGTATACCTTATTATTTTGTGACACTGGCAAGTCACTATTTGGCGTGGGGTCCAGGGGGCGGAGCCCAAAAAAATTAGGGGTTTTAGGCATTAAATTACCGTCAGATGATCATCTAAGGGCCCGCCGTAGGGCCCTAGATGGAATCCAGGGGACAAAGCCCCCGGAAGCTTAGGGGTTTTAGGCATTTAATCACGGTCAGATGAGCATATTTTGATGCCTCGAGGCTCTCGATCCCCGCCGTACCTTGGGCCCTGACATGTAGGAATCTCAAGAATCATATTTTTTGCCTGGTTGTAAATTTAGGAATTTTTTTATTTTCCAACAACACATACAAACGTATAATTTATTAAAAAGTGAGGAAAAATTTCGGAAATTATGTCATTTCAGCATTATTTTTGTAATACACCGTTGTGGAATCAGAAATAAACCACGTTTGAATTTGATTTCCCCCAAGCCCCCCCCCCCCTCTATCAGTACGCCAGTATCTCCTCTTTTCCTTTTTTTTCTTTCCTTTTCCTTCCTTCTCTCTTATTTTTTTTGATTGGGGGGGGGGGTTAACAGCCTGGGAGGCAAGGCCCTTTCGGCCCCCCCCCCGATCTCCTTCTTCCCCCTTTACTTTTCTTCTTCCTCTTCTTTCTTTCCCTTTTTCTCCTTTTTCCCTTCTCCCTTCTTTTCCTTCTTCTCTTTTTTTTTTTTTTTTTTTTTTTGCGGGGGGGGGGGGGGGGGGGCCAAGGCCCGCTCGCCCCCCCCCCCCTGGATCCGCGCCTGTCCAAAACGTTGCATTTTTGTTAGCCTAATCAGCGAAAAGTAAACAACAGTGCAGTTCTTCTGTTTCGCTTGCTGACCCGAGGTGGGGTACGTGCCATATCTCTCTCTCTCTCTCTCTCTCTCTCTCTCTCTTATTCTTAATAATATCCACCCTTTTTCTTTCTCTCTCTCTCATTCCTAATAATCTCATCCCTAGCTCTCTATTTATTTCTCTTTATCTCTCTCTCTCTATCTCAATCCTCCTACTCCTCCTCGTTCTTTTTCTACTTTTCCTTCTTCTTCTTCTTTTTTCTACTTCTTCTTTTTCTTTATTTTCTTATTTTTCTTGTATACTTATTACCATTTCTATCATTATCATTTCAATGCTGTTATCATCATTATTATTATCTTTAATATTTTTTTCTTATCTGACTGTAAATAATGCAATTTTAACTTTTCAAATTTGAACATGACATGTCGGGGACCCAGATGGAAATAAGCTCTCGAGCTTTCGTGGGTTATCCAGTTCAAACTGACTTGATTTTGATCTTATTCTTTTTATTGTTGTATGCTGGAGGCTTAATTGGCCAATAAAATCAATTAATCAATCTGTGAGGTATAAAGCTCCGCAATAGGAAATTAGGCACAGGGTGTGGGGCGGGGTAGGATGTGCGGAGTTTGATATTGCTACGGTGTGATATGCTACCTACCGGGAAATTTGCGATAATTAAGGAGCTATATCTCAAGTCAGGCGGGAAATGATTTAAAAGTTGAAGTTGGGATTCTTAAGGTGCAAGGTTTCAGGTGGGTTTTAGCTGACGTCTATCGAGGGAGAATATGCATGGAGGCTTGAGGGGTATGATGCAAGGGCGGATCCAGCCGGCGGCAGCAAGGAAGGGGGCCACTGATTCGTGAGAAAATGTTTAGCGGCGAGTCAGCCAGCCGGCGAATAAGCGGGGGAAGGGAGGGGGGGGGGGGGTATGGAGCACAATTTTTTTCCTCCAAATTCGTGAGAAAATATTTAGCGCCGGATCAGTCAGCCGGCAAATACGCGGGGGCAGTCTTTTCTTTTATTAAAAAAAAGGTTAAATTTACCTGTTTTGGGTGCCAGGGGGGCGGGCCAGGGGAGGGAGCCCACCCCCTTCCTAGATCCACCACTGTGTGGTGGGAGGGGGCGGGCGGGGGTTGGGCGTTCCATATTACTGCTACGTACAGGGGAGTTTGTGGGAAGAAGACATCTCAAGTCAGGTAAGGTGGGAAATTATTTTAATAGAATGAAAATGGGTCATAGGGTTGCAAAGTGTAGGGAGGGTCCTACCTGACGTCTATATAAGGGGAGCTTCGAGTGATGCTGAGATGGTGGTGTGGTAAAAAAACATGTATATGTAACAGAAAGGGGGAACTGACATCAGCGGCAGGTGTAGCCATCAAGCTTTGTCCTTTTTTAAAAATACAGTCATGAGTCCCCTCTTGCTATCGGTTCACGTGGTCGACAGCTTGCGAGACCGCCAAAGAAATACGTGGTTTATCGATCTATCGGGCTGTAGCCTATGTTGGGACATCCTAGTTCAGAATTTTGTAAAAAAGGGCGTTATACCCCCCCCCCCCCCCCCCCCCCAAAAAAAAAAAAAAAAAAAAAAAAAAAAACCTTTTGAATTGGCACTTTTTATTTGTCAATATGATGTAAAGAGTGGCTACGTACTGTGTACAACCAGTTGAAAATTCAGACATGAACGCTATTATTCTAAAATGCATGGACTCGATCAATCAATCGTTCTTCTTTTCAATTATTAAATTGACCAATCTATCAGTATATCCCTCATACTTATTTTGCCTATGCAATCATTTAAACATTTATTCAGTCAATCATCATTACTTCACGCAATCAATCATTAAATCAACTAATCAATCATAATTGCTTTTTAGACATAATGACAATATTCATTCGATAAATCAATCAATCATCCATTCATTACTTTAGCAAATAAATAATTAAATTAGCAGATATCCGTCAGGTAAAGCAGTTGGAAAGCGTTTATTTGTGTAATCAAGCCAGCATCTGAACAAAAAGCAAGAGTTATATCCATCTTCATACGGTATAAACGACACGTCAAAACAACACAGTTTAATGAATTGAAGAAAATTACATGTATATAGGCATACAACAGGTACAGGAAATAATGTTTTTTGAAGATTCCTGGATGTATAAAAATCACAAAATCAGATGATTTAAAAATTCATTTAACTGCTACCATCATTGACATATTTTCTGTGCAAATGAACATGAGAAATATTACTCAAACTGGAAGAGCCACGTTTATTATCACCATTTCTTTTTTTTCCCCTTGTAAGATATGGAATTACTTTTCACTTCACAGCATACATTATACAGCTCATCATTTCTTCATCCTTTTTCTTTCCTTACATATTCTCTGTTCCTCTATCTTCGTCTTTTCTTTCTTTCAACAATGCTTCATCCCACTCTGTACAGCATTCACATTTATCAAGTACACAATGTAACAATGACTTCAAACGGGATATCAACAATCAAAATCATTTATCTTGTTGCGAAAAGGCTGAAACAAAGTGGCACATTTAGGTACTTGAGATAACATGACATGATATCTACGCCAAACTCCAAACGCAACTTTTATAACAATGGAATCAACAGATAAGGGAAAGAAAAAACAAAATTCTTTTTGTTCCCTCTTTTAAAAAACTAACAAGGATAAGATAAGAAATACAAAGACACAAAACTTAGTATTCTTATAAACAAACCTTACAGTAAAAACTTCTACTTTAGATTAACACATAAAGTCGAAATGGAAGAATAATTTAATTGTAGCATACATGTATCATCAATTGTACACAAACCTGTGTAATTCCTTTTAATCATGTATGTATTTCAGGTTACATTCAAAGTGTAAGATCACACAAATTTAATTAATCACTACTTCCAAAAATGGCTACTGTACTTGCCTTCGCATGGAAGGAATGATAATTATGTACATGTGTAACTGGCAGCTCTAAGAAATCAATCCTTTATGATGAGGAGACTGATTGTATGTACAACGAGAATCGTATTTATTTACCCATTCGGAGTGCAAATCTAAACTACTTCCCTTGTTTAGCAGTGGTGGTTACAAGATTTTGAAATAAAGGGATGCATGGGCCCTGCACCCCCTCTAGATTTGCAAATATCTTGGTGGTAGGTTACTGCGACTGAGAGATACTTGCTTGGTGTGCCTGCATCATGCTCATGACTAGCTCTGCCTCGTGTGGCAGAGTCATCGGAATGAGCTGGTGCACGACAGGCTGATCCTGGTTTTGATCGGCACCTCTGTGATCCTGATGATGATCCTGGTGGTGGTCTTGAGGGTGCGGCATGGCGTGCACCACCTGTTCCGTCACGGCTCTAGGAACCCCGTTGTCCTGATGAGAGGTCACCACCTGAACGGTCTGAAGACCGGCCTCAACGTAGTGGTGTTGTTCTACTTCATGCTCCTGCTGCAGCTGCTGTTGCTGTTGCTGATAGTGCGCCTCACTGATGACATGACCCATATCTCCGCCGGCGATGATTTGCTGGGTGACTGCGACTGGGGGTACGTTGTACGTGATCATCTCGTGGTGCTGCTGCTGGTTGTCTCCACCTTGTAAGAAATGAACCTCACGGACGGTGATCTCGCCCCCTTGGGATAGGCGACTCAGGGCTGATGCTCCCATAGCTGCCTCTTCGCTGATGCCTTCTGCAAGGGTAATGGTCTGGCCATCCAAAACGGTAGATACTGGTAGCTAAAAAAACAAATGATGCAAAAAAGGATGGTGAAATATTATTAACAGATCTTTAATTAATGAAAACGAAACCTTATTTCCCTCTCCCCATGCTCTACAGAGAGTACAATTGATTTTCTTTGAAATCAAAGCAAACATATGAATGAAAAGAAAGATGTCTGACGGCTAAAAAATAACACTTTCAGTACACCCTTGGCAACGTATCACATATAGACAATCTACGCTTGGTAATACTCTATGAATTTTTAGAATGTCGTTTCTACATTAATTTGATTACGTTTGAATATTGATTATTTGAGGTGATAATAGTGATACAAAGTTACAAACAAACAATTCGTCGTAGCATCTGGATGAATTTCAAGGAAGTCGAAAAGCTAGAGTAAAGTGATGAAACAATGTGTACCTATCGCACAAGAAACCCTCTTTACCTGAATCACTACGCCTTCCTTCATGCTGTCATCATGCACCTGGGTCTCGACCGTGACTTGCATCTCTTCGTAGCGTGGGCGACTGCTTCGCTTTATTCTCATTTTGGCGACTTCGACGCGCTGGACGGCGACGTCGATCCCCCTCCCCCTCGCTTCTTGAGGGTCGGAGCCTTGAGCGGAGCGGCAACCAAGTGTCCTTCCGTCGAGATGACGCTGACCGGTTCTTCGGGCATCGCGTCACCCAGCTCACGGCGATGCGTCTCCACGTGTTTCCACATGTTTCCGTGATAGGACGAGGTCCAACCACATATTTTACAGGTGTACGGGCGGACGCGGGCATGCTTGCACATCACATGCTCCGAGATGATCTTGTTCGTTGCACCTGAAAGGATCGATATGAGATTCAATAACTTTATACAAATTTCATAAATTTGACTGTATTCCTATGAAAATTTGTTGACTGTTTGCAATAGTTACAACTGCCCAAAGAATCACAAACACAGTGCAATATTAGATTTAAAAGACCGCTACTTTGGACAAGATATTCATGATCAATAAATATACAAATGGCTTATCATTTGTTCATTAGACATTAACAGTCTAACAGCAAACTAATCTTGGCAGATTGTCTCAATCAAAAGGCATGGAATGATACATAGGTCCCCCCCCCCCCCCCCCGCCCCTAACCCAGTCAAAAGCGGTGCTCCTATAAGTTCTCTGGTTGAAGTTAACGGTTCGGTCATGTAGGATATTGACCACGTCACCACGTAGCAATAGTGCCAGAACATGAAACCTTTCAAAGCTCTCATCAAGTCCTTTGTCCTTCTTACCTCTGAAGTCACATTCGGGCACTTCAGCGGCTGCAACCCCTCGTGTGTGCGGATGTGAAGCAAGAGGTTGTTCTTGGTTTTACTGGCGTAGGGGCAGATGTGGCACTTGAACTGTCGGTTCTCTGTGTGGATGCGCATGTGGTAGGCCAGACTGGATTTCTTGCGGCCGATGTAGTCGCACTGTGAACAGGCATATGTCGGCAGTGGCGAGCATTGTCAAAGTCCTTGCCATACACCATTAGTCCGTGTTTGGACCGAATATGCTCCTGTAAAATGAATATGAACAGACAGTTACAAAACGTTTTAATTTTTATAGAAGGGAACAACAATATAACATCATAAATGCTGAGTAATGCATGTTACACCATTCCGTAGTATTTCATCTTTTTAAAAATCTCTTCTATGTAGTGACAAAATATTCCTGTGTTAACAGTTTAGACTTCTACTTAGACTTCGACTTAAGACTTCTAGTTTAGTCTTCGACAGTGAAAAAATCATGAGGTACATATATTGAATGTATTCACTTCTTCGATGCTGCGGTGGAACTGTGTTATATTTTTGTTTGTAAACGATTTCATTTTAACTAGAAATACAAATAATGCCAATTATAGAAAGAAAAAGAAAAGAAAAAAAAAAGCACCTTTAAAATGCCATTATCAGCACACATGTAGTCACAAGCGAAGCACTTGACATTCTTCTCCGATTCAGGAGCGTGGTAGCGACGCCAGTGGACTCGGAGATTGTAAGCCGTGGTGGTACAGGTGCCGCACTTATCGCACATGTAGTCCTTGCTGCCCGAATGGACGAGAATGTGCTTCTTGAGATCATGGTAGCGATTGGTTGAGAATTGACACTCATCACAGCGATGCAGATGCAGGAGGCTCTTGTGACTCAAAGCCACATGCTCCCGCAACTCAGAAGACTCTTCAGTGCTGTATTCTGTGCATTCTGTGCAGCGGAGCACATTGCAATTCTCATCACGATAATGGAGGGTTTTGTGATCGAAAACCGCCTGCTCCGATTTGTATTTTCCACCACACACGTCGCAGAAGAAAGAAACATTGTTCATGACTCTTTGGAACGAGCGTTTGCCCTTGCCTTTCTTGTCTCTCTTCCCTTTCTTCTCGAATACTTCCCCGGCAGCGATTCTAGCCAGTTTGGCGGCCTTGGTAGATCCACGAGGACGGCCTCGCTTCTTGAGCCTTGAATTTTCCGTGTCGAAATCCGATTCCGTTTCGAGCTGCTCCACGGCACTCATCTGCTGTACATGTACAACATTAGAGTGCTCTCCAAGAGATGTCCCTGCCTCTCCTTCATCATCTTCAGCCTGTTCCCCAACCTGCTTCATCAAGTCTGCCTCTTCGGCTTTAACAATGGAGATGTATTTTTCGTACTTCTCTATGTTGAAATCCTTGCTTGACAGCTCATCGTGCAATTCAGGACGAAGATGCTTCCTGGTGACATGGATATGAATGGACTTCTTGTCAATTCGGGGGAAGACCATGGCACATCCGTCAAGATCGCAAAGTAGCCTGTAAAACGTCGGTTCGTGCGTTTTTTCGGTAGTGAACACGCATATTAGACCAATGAGGACACAGGAAATTACACTCGTCGATGGGGCAACGAAAGCCTTCTAAATTTGCAGCGTGGCATTGAAGGTGGACATCGAGTTCAGCCTGAGTGACGTCAAGTGCGCAACCATCGAATGGGCAGGGAATCGGCAACACGTGCTTCTCTTGGAACACCAAGTACCACTCATTTACCCTATCATCGAGAATTCTCTCAATCACCTTATCAGACAGAGGCAATTTAGACACCGTCGGTGTCTTTTTGAAGATCTTTGGCGTCTTTAATTTAGGACTCCCTTCATCTTGCCTGCCCTTCTCTTGTGATCCACTACTCCGGGTCTTCCCCTTTTCCCCTTCATTACTATTGGCGGGATCGTTGGAACCCTTTTCTTCGGCAATACGTTCCTCTCTTCATTCTCATTGTAATCCTCATCTTCCATGAATTCTTCGTCGTCATCCAATTCGTATCGCAAATATGCCTTGGAATAGCCTTCTTCCTCCTCCTCATTCCTCGTCCAAATTCCTTGGGCTCTTCTTCCCCTTCCCCTGTTTCTTCCCCCTCGTCTTTCACCTCTACCTCTTCAATGTAGTAGTATGGTTGTTTCTTGATAGGTTTCTGGTTCCGCTTCTTCGGTGGACGTCCCCTCGGTCTGGGGGCTGGTCTCTTCTCTTCTACTTCTTCAGCCAGATTTTCCTCGTCTTCTCCTATTTCTTCGCCTGCTTTTTCCTCCATTTCTTTTTCACCGTCTGGCTCTTTAGAATCATTTGTGCTCACGGTCTTGCCCTCTTCTTTGATTGGAGAAACGTAGGCTTCCATGTGATCTGTCAGGAAGTGATTGCCAATCTCACTCTTCGAGGTCGCCGTGTAGTCACACAGCATGCAGCGAAACTGCGAATCGTCTTCTTTCTCTTTTGCACTCATTTTGCTTTCTCAGCTTCGCATCAACCTAAGAAATAAAAGAACATATGAAAATTGTTAATGGTTAAATGATTAAATCGACAAGCTTAAAGGTATTATAAAGTTTTGGTATGGGGTCATGAATTTCGTTCAAATTAACATATTGGAAACGTATGCGTTCCTACAATATTCATTGATCGTTGACGCGGTTGAAATCGAGTCTAAAATTATGAAATTGTAAATAATAATCTTCTTATGTCGTATAGCTCCCTCTCAAGGTCAAGATATTAATTAAGCTATTAAACAATGTTTTTTGACTAAGATCAACCGATAAGCTATTCCCATTTGGAAATTATATATCACAACTACATATTCTGAGATTTTCATGGTCGCAGCTACCATTGTACGGCCATACGCGCTATTTAAATTTATCAAAATTTACCGGGAGCACCGGTAAATCTTTATATTCAATTTTTCTCGAAAACAGAAGTGTTTTAGGGGCTAATTTTTTTAGTGCTTATAATACATCCACAGGGGCATCCGAATATATCAAAATTGTAAAGATTCACTATCCACCCAATTTCAAAATTTCCCAAACTTTGTATTACCTTTAACATTCTTTTTATTGTACATCCGAGAAAGTTACAAAGTATCTCATCTATTCAGTTTTGCTTCTTTAACGTCTTTTTCATTCAGCACCAAGCTAAAAGCAAGACACCCCAAGAAGAGTTATTGCATAACTTAAAGAAGGTTTTCAAAGTATGCAAATATGTTCATCAAATTTCTGTTAAAAGATCCTTAAAGATCCGATTTCGGAAATGAAATGGGCTACAATTTTAACTGAACCTGTTCAAGACTGGAAGAAACTTTGCACTATTCCTTTAAAATGTTGCCTTTCTACGAAACTTTTACATCGAATACTAGGGGTCAACAAATATCTTTACATTATGGGCATAGCTAATTCTAATTTAAGTACATTGTGTTTATCCTCTGTTGAAAGTACTTCACACTTGTTTTGGGAATGCCCTGTTACGCATCAATTCATTCAAGACTTCCTAAGCTCTATTTTAAACAATGAAGTGCTTTTGAATAAAAATTCGTTTTTGTTTGGTTTCCAAGATGGTATGCAATCTATCTTGAATGTTGTCATTTTATATGCAAAATACAAAAGGGAACGATTATCTTTGAATTCTTTTAAAGCCCTACTGTCCTACTTGTAGCTACTTGCTCCCTCTATATAGAAAACTTCCCCAATCGGTGCCTGTTGGTCCCCCATGATCCTCTTTTTCTTATGTTAGTTGAGAGCTGAGTTAATGAGATAGCCACCTGTCGGTGACCTCGCTGTGTGGTCTAATCCCTTCTGGCCCAGTAGTGTTGACGGTCTTTAAGAAGATGCTTAAACGTTTTTATGAAGTTAAGCGGGTTCTTTCTATCAAACGCAATAAATTTGTTATATTACTAGATAAATGAAGGCATGCGCACTGATGTAACAATGTTTGTTTTACCAATATGTCACAACATGTACTTTGTTCAAGTCTACTGTTTTGTTCTTGCTCAAGAATGATTGAATTATTTGAATAAAGTTTTTCTTTGGAAAAAAAAGTCTTTGTCAATTATTTTTTTTTAAATAATATATGTGCAGGTGCAGATCCAGGATTTCTTAGGGGGCCAAATTTGAAATCAATTTGAAATTTTGTGGGCTGAATTTGAAAATCGCGCCGGTCGATAAATCGCTCAGTTGGGGGGGGGGGGGGGGGGGGGGGGGGGGGGGGGGGGGGGGGGGGGGGGGGGGGGGGGGGGGGGGGGGGGGGGGGGGGGGGGGGGGGGTTGGGGTTAGAGCACTAATTTTTTTTTTTTTTTTGGGGGGGGGGGGCCTCGAAAATTTGAAAAATCGTACCCCCCCCCCCCCCCACCTTTTTGAGAGAGGGCCCATCTCCAAAACAGGTAAAATTAACGTGTTTTTACACGTTTTTTCCCCCTGGATCTAGCTTTTTGCTAGGGGGGGGGGGGTTGACTCAATGACGATGCGGAGCACCGTCGTCTACGAGCCGCAAAGCGGAGAGGCGAATTTTTTTTTTCTTCTTCTATTTTGAACCCCCGTAAGAGATGTTTTCCTTGCATCTACTAACATAATGGAGAAGCATGAAAAGCAGTGCACTATAACGTCTCTTTATAGATTAAGTAACAGTTTTAATACAGTTACAGAGTTACGACCCCAATGACGATGCGGATACTGTGTGGGTCTGAACACATGATGGCGTTTTTCTATGCACATCACATTTCACTTGGCAGCCCAAGGGGGGGGTGGGGGTTACCCCCTAACCCCCCCCCCCTGATCTGCCACTGATATGTGCACCCCCAACCCCTCTACCGTTTTAAATGGCAATCTAACCTTTGCATAGGTAACTTTGTGTGTATTAAAGCAGAAACAATTGAAAACATTGACCAATAATAATCAATTAAGGCCGGAGTTTTTTTTTAACTATGAGATCACTAAATGTATGTGACTCTCAATTTTAGCGATTTAGTCAGTGTATTGGGATCACGGAGCATTGTTATTTTTTTTAAATCAACCTACACCCCCCCCCCCCTTGAGCAAAAACTTCAAATCCCCCCCCCCCCCCCCCCCCCCGTTATAATTCCACAAGAAAGCAAGCAAGAACAACAAGAAGAGGGGGGGGGGGTGGGGCCCGGAGGGTATTGTAAAATTAAAAAATATCCTCATAGCATAGTTATGTGAGTTTAAGCCTTAATTATCCTTTTCAGGTCGTGCTATGCTTATTGTTGTTGTTTCATGCATAGAGAGCGTTTACAAATCGGTATAACTTAAGCCTTTAGATCTAGTTAGTTATTTTTAAACACAATCTCTCCTTTTTTTTCGTTTGCCCCTTCACTTAATAACTGGAAAGGCAATAATGGGCATGTTCAACGCATCATGGATGTCTTCAACAAATATATCCCCCCCCCCCTTTGTCCTGTTTTCTTTTCCTCTGTTCCTCTGTCTTTCTCTCTCTACACCGTAGCCCGGCCGCAGCCCGGCCCCCTCCCCCCTTTTTTTTAATAAAAATAAATTTCTCTCTCCAGCTCTCTCTGTCTGCTCTGTACAATTCAATTCAATTCATTTCAAATTTTATTTATTAAAATCCCCACAATTAGGAATTTAGGATCATTCTCATTTTTTTCCATTGGAATTTTGGCCCGAATGGATAACGAATTTAAAAAACATACGGTGCAACATGATCTAGATAATTGACTGAGGGTCGATGTGGTCTATGTATTTGATCCTCTCTCCAGCTCAGCTCCTCCGCGCTCCGATGCAAACTTGCATTGCATGGCGAGTAGAATTTATGTCAGAATTTGTAGCCTTTGTATGATGACTCTGACGCGGTCATTATAAACCGTGGAGTGTTATGCCTTTGAATTCCAGTAGAATGTAGTGACTGACTTTTTGTCCTAAAAATGGGCCAGCCTACAGAAACGACTCCGAGACTATTTTGCTAGCCTCCATTGAAGTTGTAGGATCGGCATTTTCACGAACGTACGTGCGTAGGCATATCGTATGTGCCCAAATCCTGCTACATAATGTTTACGCATTGTACTATGAAAATGCGCTACTGCTATAGACTCTAATCAAGCCGCCATTTTGAAAGCTCGAGAAAGAGGCAATAATTCAACATGAATATTTGGTCCTTGCATCTAAACATAATAGACATTGAATAGTACTATAATTATGATTAACTATCTATTGTTTTAGTCATAGGACTTACCAGGTTGAAAAAAGCTGCAAAACTGCAAAATACGTTGAAAATTTAGGTCGATATCCCGTAGCTTCAGATACAATATAGACTACGTAGACACGCGTTTAGCCTTAATCACAGACGCGATGCGACGAACGCTTTTTCTGTTGTGTGTGTGTGTTTGATTATATTGCATGGAGTTAGGGTGTGTGCGTGCGTCGCCCTGCCTGACGTGCACATTGCACACACAGCCTGCATGCTTACATTCTGGTCTCTCATGTCGGGGGTGATTTTGATAAGACCAAGGAATTTTAAAAGCTCGACGAAACGAGGGTCAATTTGGTATGGGCATCCCACCTTGATAGAGTTTTTATGTCCATACCAAATATTTTATTTTCTGAAAATGAAGGAAAACTAGTAAAAAAGCACTGGCCTTTGGGGTGGCGGTGCCAGCTGGGGCAGCTGTATATGGCTCCCTAAATTAATCAGCAAAAAAATCCAGGCCCAAATAATTGAGCCGCGCGCCCTCCAGAATGAAGCACCAATTTTCTGCAGAGTAGGGCGGCTGCCGCTTATATATCATTTTGAGACACTTTTCCATTTAAAAAGTTGAAAGTGAAATTCACAAGTCTCATAATTACATGACTGAGAAATATATGTATAACCTTTTAGTTTTTGTTAGCAACTGCAATGTTAAGTGAAATCCGATTTTTGTTTTATGATATATATTTTTTTTTTGGGTATATTTTATGTTTTTATTTACCTGTACTACTTGGTTTTTTATTCTTCTATTGGTTTCTTTTCTCTTTTTTTATGGCAATTATATGTTCAGGATCGATTCGGTTTTGAATTTATTTCTGCAAAAGAATTACAAACAAATTACTAATCGCGCCAAATTTGAAATTACTGTACGTAAACTAAAAGTGTGCTCCATATTGCGTGGCCCAAGTACCCATTGATTTACTTCACAAATTATGACCCCCCTCCATTGTTTTTGTCTTGCATCCCCCATTATAAGCCCTGAATTACTTGTATGCAGAAGCAAGAAATGGGGTCTGTCTGTTTTCTTTTCATATCTGCACTGAACTAACTATATTGATTCCTTTGGGAGTTAATCTACGTAAAGTCTATTCATTACACGTTCAACTCCATATGGGGGAAGGGAGATTACTACTCATAAGCCATTCTCCGCTCAAAGATATATTGTTTAGGTTACTGTCACAAATATGCCGCGTTTAACACTGCGTTACGTGAATAGGAGTCAAAGAGTATTGATGTCAGAAAAACAATATTCCAACGAAGCGATTTTGGACCAAATTTAATGTCATGAAACCTATTCAGTTAGTCAAATAAGGGTATATCAACGCAGGAATTTCAAGGTGCTGGCACTCTTGCAAGTTGCAACGAAGTTGTTGACTACAACTGTCACTACACGCACACACACACACACACACACACACACACAGGTAAAGACTAAAATCTCATTTTAAAACAATCTTTTAGACGTTGAAAAAAACATTGACAAACAGACAATGAAGCAAACATTGAAATGCATTTTCAAACAAGCTTTTATTATTGGCTGATTATCATCGCATACTAGTTAAATATTCATTTAAGGGAAAGGCAGATTTGGTTTGTTCAAAACTAATCACAATATAGGAAACTCTTTGATCGTATGCAAAATATGCAAATCAGAAAATGTAAGAGTCTAAAAAGACCTTAATCTAGGAGGATTCTTCCTTTGGAATGAGGCTCTTAAGAATTCACCAATGACTTTCCAATTAATATAAATGGGCGGCACATGCAGTCACATTCGCTTCAATTATTCTGAAAGAATAAATAATAAATGAAGAAAATAATTACCAATGACAAAATACCCCAACTATTATGCCACAAAGGAGTTGTAGAACCTTGAAGAACCATATTTTTTCTTCAAACAATCAATAGTTCGTTCTAAGAGTTTAAGAACAAAAACGTAATTTCTGCACAATATCTGGCATCGACAATAAAATATCTCAATGTCAAAGTTGCCTACTCCATCCCATTATAATCATTGTTGACTAACACGCGACTATATTATGATTATAATGAAATTGTCCAACATGGCGGCGTAATAAAAATGCTAACACACATTAAGCTTCCATCTACTTCACTTGGTTCAGTACGTCTTCAAAAAAGCTACGTGCTCATATCACATCATATTTTTCAAATGAAACGAAAATAATTAATGCATATTTATTCCTGTCTTTGAAAAATAAAGAAAAGAAAAGAAAAGAAAAGAAGAAGAAAAAAATGACGCTACATTTTCATAGGCACGGTGGAACGAAAGCGAATTATGGAATGCAAAGCTCTGGAAGATATAATTTATAGGATACAATTATTTTTTCTTCAAACAACACACACAAATATCTCTTGATTTGAAATTTTGAATATATAGGTGATAAATCCCGTACATAGTCGCGTGATTTTAATCATTCGACTCTTCGGACATCGTAAATCTCAAAGAAAATCTCAAAGAAAATTACCTTACAACATTTCCAAGTAAATATAAATCCCTCGGATAAGTTGTGTACCAAAATAATGTTCTTTTTCATGAACTATATTTGTAAGAGTAATCTGAATTACAGTGACTCATTTCTACCACGCTCTTGTGTTTTCTTCTTTCTTTCTTTAAAAAAAAAATTATCATAACACACAATGTATATTATTGTAATTATTTGTTCACAAAACTGAATCTTAAATGGCTTTATAGATTCAAATCACAAAAGCAAATAAATTAGATTACATGGTTATATAAGATAATGACTACATACATGTATACTGCTTGGAAGGACTAGGCAGTTCATGAATGCTTCACTTTGATTCCAATGTTTTTTTTCACACGCCTTATTTAGCATTTTATATACAAAATACTGGTAGGAGATCTAGCATAAAAGTATTAAGTACTGTATATAAATGGTCCATTGCATACGAGCCGTCATTTCGAGACCTCGTCTAGGATATCTGGCATAGTGTGATTGCAAGATGAACAGTGCAATCATTGCCTTCAATAACTGACGTATGTGATAATTGCCTTTATAGGCTCATTGGCGCGGATAATAAGGCAATAGAAATAACGCCTCGTGTGCAACAGACACCATCTGATAGAATTTCATGGAATAGGTCCAATTTCGGCTATAGAGCAACGGTTTTACAACAAATTAACGGGTGGAGCGTTATTGAGAAACGTTTGGTTGATGAACATGATGGATCTGTTGAACCTGCTGAACATGCTGGACCTGCGGGACGTGCTGAATCTGCATCATGCTCATGACCAACTCGGCATCGTGAGGGATCATGGAAGCGACCAGATTATGGACCACATTCTGGTCCTCGGAATGCGGCGTGGCCCGGACGATCTGCTCGACTATCGCAGTCGGGACTTGCTCGGCAGCGCTGGTTGTGGGTATACCCGCGTGCATAGCTGCCTGCTGGATGCTGCTGTCACCTCCATGTTGCTGTTGATGTTGCTGTTGTTGTTGCTGCTGTTGTTGCTGCTGTTGATGATGCTGTTGCTGCAACTGATGGTGGTCGCTGATTTGGTGGCTGGCGTGGTAGTGGTGATCGCTAGTGATGACCTCGGTAATGTCGCCACTGCTGGTGATGATCTGCTGAGTATTTGGAACTGTGTATTCGATGATCTCCTGTTGGTTCATTCCGTTGCTAGCATCGACATGGATGGAATCGCCAAGCTGCACATGAAGGAAAACAATTGGAGGATGTTTAGCATACAACTTTGTAGAACAATTTCTTGTCTTTATACTCGTTGCGCGCCATTGCTCGCCTTAGATTAAATTAATCCTAGCGCATCCCCGAAAGCACCTAAATGTAAATTCTTTATAATCATACACCAAGCAAAATTTTCCGGGGGGAATTGTCCTGGGGAGGGGGGGGGGGGGTAAGTTTTCCAGGGGTGATTGCCCAGGGGCTATTTTCCTAAACTGGTGATGGAAATTTGCTGGCTCGGGTCATTGTAAGAAATAGCACTCTCCACCCCCCCCCCCCCCCCCCCCCAAAAAAAAAGGAAAGAAAAAAAGATGAAAACATACTTGAGTTGCAATGATCCTGTGCTCCTGATGTTGCCCACCACTTTCTAAGCCTTCATTGCCCTGGATGATGTGGACCTCTTGAGCCGATGCCACTGCCGCGGCTAACCTGCTGAGGGCAGACGATCCGATGGATTCCTCTTCCGACAACCCTTTGGTAACCATCATCTGGCCGTTCGGACCCATATGGATAGGCACCTTCGGATGAAAAGAAATAAGACAGTCAATACATGTCGGTTATCACATTGACCATGCTTTATCTAAACACTTGGTCAAGCCACTTTAACACAGTTTCTACAATCATGTGGGATAATCAGTAAGTTTTTAAAAAATGCGGTGCAAAGCTAACACTCAAATTTATATTATATTTCAAGAATGAAAGAGAAAGAAAGAGGAAAGAAAGAGGAAGGAAAAGAAATCATTTGTACTTCGTGAAAATGTCGTGAATACCCTCACATAAGATTCTCATCCGTGGATACTTGAACAAGGTGATCATGACCTAAAAATCGGTCAAAAGACTCGAGACCAAAAACTCTTAGAAGTTAGAACAGCACTCATCAACTTTAAAGTTACTGTTTGTTATGGAGTGATATATCAACCACCAAACTCCACTAAATTATTCCCTCGCCATTAAAAAATCCTTCCCAACTTCAGTAACATCACTTAAGCACTTTAAAACTGCTATCTGCCTGTTTGTCTCTCTTCTAAATATTGTGTACATCTATCGTAGGAGACATCTCCTTGTCATTAATGATTGATTAAAATCAGACAATGAAAGAAAGAAAAAAAAGGAAAAAAGGAATGAAGGAAAATAATGTACTTCTTTGCACACTGTGTGCTGTCTTTTCTCCACCCCCCCCCCCCTCCGGTTTAATTATATCCATTTGCATTTGTGTATTTCACTAACCTGCATCAATACCCCTTCAGGTAAGTTTCCTCCCGCTTGAACTTGAATCGTCTGCACGTTGTCATCTAGGATCGATATAGTCGCTGTTTGTTCCATCTGCTGCGTCTTTTGCGCCTGCTGCCGTCTGGTCTTACCAGGCTTCGCCAGTTTGAGTTTGAAATTTGAAGCCTTGTTCATGCCTCGCTTCTTGCCCGACGGAGCTCGGAGGGGCGTCGGGACGGAATGGTTCTCGGTGGAGACGACATTGACGGGAAACTCGGGCATCTTGTCGCCCAGCTCCTTCTGGTGGGTGTCCACGTGCTTCCACATGTTTCCGCTGTAAGCCGTGCTCCAGCCGCAGATGTTACAGTGGTAGGGGCGGACGTTGGCGTGTTTGCACATGACGTGTTCAGATATGATTTTGTTTGTTGCGCCTATGAAGTTTGAAAACAGAGAAAACACCTTTTATTATTATTTTGTGCTCAAAATTACATTACACAAGGACCTACCATTATACATTGACTACAATGACATTGAAACCTCTGTTGACTATCATCATAGAAGTACAACCTGCGACTACTTTTGTATCCTTTGATTAGTTGTTCTTGTTGACGGCTGCATTAAACGGGAATCCAAAATTGCACAAAAAGAATATCTTTGTCGAATAACCTACGTACTAAAATTGCTCTTAATAATTGACTGTAATTGACTGACCAAAATAAGTTGCATAATTCCGAACTGTAAAAATTCTCTAAACATTATTCACTGTAATCTTTTAACAATTCCAACTCAATTTAATTGTTATGCCTCTTATTTTGATGACCTTTATGCTGGTAAACAATATTTGTGAACTTATATATAAAGTCATTCCGGTATTGCATGATATCACGGTGAAATAATATGAACACCAGAGTTTCATAAGTCTACTGAGCTTCGACTTCTACATGTCAGTACTTTCTCGTGAACCAGGATAAAGAAAAGGCGTCAAAAACACTGTACCTCTGAAGTCACAATGGGGGCACTTCACTGGTCTCATTCCGTCATGGGTGCGAAGATGCAGCACCAGGTTGTTCTTGGTCTTGCTGGCATAGGGACAGATATGACACTTGTACTGGCGGTTCTCGTTGTGAATGCGCATGTGGTAGTCCAGACTGGACTGCTTGCGACCCATGTAGGTACAATGAGGGCACGGGTAGAGGAGCATCGACCGGGGTTCGTGTACTCGTCACCGTTGATGAGAAGGCCATGCTTTTGTCGAATGTGATCCTGTCAGAAAGATATTGGTAACAAACAATATGGTAAGAGGAAGAGATTATGTTATTAAGTCGTGAGACCGAGTTAACTCCACATTTACTTGCACCTTGTATACAATATTTGCTTTAACATCATGGTCATTATTATTATATCAATCTACGTGAAATTAATCTAGAATGAGTAAAATGACAAGTTTTTATACATATATACAGCAAATCTGGTAAATACGTCAAGGGAAAAGTTACCTTCAAAACGGCCTTGTCTGCACACCTGTACTCGCATGAGATGCACTTGATTTTCTTCTCTTCGTCCGAAGCATGCATTCGTCTGTAATGGACCTTCAGATTGTATGGCGTCGTGGTGCACTTCCCACACTTATCGCACATGAAGTTCTTCGCGCCGGTGTGGACGATGTTATGTTTCTTCAGATCATGAAACCGATTCGAAGAGAAGTTGCATTTGTCGCATCGGTGCAGCTGTAGCAACCTCTTATGCTCCTCGGACATATGAATGCGAAGTGAGGACTCCTCGGCCGTGACAAACGCTTCGCACTCTGTGCAGTTGATCTGGTCATTATCATTATGGTAATGTCGGAGGCTGTGTTCCATCAACTTCTCTTCCTCGTTGAACTTGGCGCTGCAAACCTCACAAACAAATGCCACAAGTCTACGCTGGAACTTCTCTCGATCTTCCCCATGCACCCTGCGTTGTAAATTCTGCCTCCTACTATAGCCTTCAGTGTCTTTAGGCGGTCGGCCAACAGGCCTCTTACGCTTTGGAGGTCTACCTCGTTGCTTCCTCGGTTCCTCTCCGTCATCCTCGTCATCTTCTTCGTGGTCTTCCTTTCCTATTTTCTTGATTTTCACATTGTCCAAGTAAGACGAGAACTCTGATAGATCGGACGTAGATGTGCTCAGTTTTGTGACCAAGTCTGGCTTGATATGTGATATTGTTACATGGGTTCTAAGAGCACCATACTTTGGAAACTCCTTTTGACATCCTTCGAAGTCGCAGGTGACTTTACTGAGCATTTGGTCGTGAACCTTACAATAGTGATGACGCATGTTGCGCCAGTGGAGACACATGAACTGACAGATAAAACAGCGAAATCCTTCCATGTTAGACACATGACATTTCATGTGGACATCAAACTCAGCTTCTGGCATTCCCATCCCACGGCATCTCTCGACCTCACAACGAAACAGATTCAGACTATGTTCATCATCGTATGTCTTCTGCCACTCGTCAGCACGATCCCGAAGGATCTTTTTAAACACCTTCATAGGGACTACAAGATTCAATTTTACACGCTCTTCATTTTTAGGTTTGACATCGTCCATGGTGCTCCAGTTTCGGTCCCTCTTCCGATGAGTTCGCCGCTCATTTTTCCGTGGTCGACCTCGACGTCGTGGTTTGAACTCCAATGGTTTTAATTTAATCGTATTCTTATTCGCCTCATTCGAAATTTGCTCTTCCGTCGATTCATCTTCGACTTCGCTATCATTATCATGCTCTTCATCGTCCAAAATATCTTCTTCATCGTCGTCGTCGCCATGGTCATCGTCACCATCGTCATCATCGCCATCGTCAACATCTTCACTGTTCACTTCATCTAATGAGAGTTTCTTCTTCCTTTTTCTCATTCCACGGCCGAGATGCCCCGGATCATCTTGAGAAGTCGCTGGCTCCGGAGAAAATGCAATCTTTGGACTTTTCACACTACTTGACGTCTTGCCCCTTGGTCGACCGCGTTTCCTTGATGGCGACTTTTCAGTAAAACTATCATTTCCCTCTTTTTCTTTCTCGTCTAAAAGTTTTTCTTTCTTCTCCTTATCTATCTTCCCCTTCTTTGTGGGTGTTATATATTCTACCTCAATATGTTCACTTAGAAAGTGTTCCGCAATTTCGGTTTTGTCAGATCCGGTAAATTGACAAAGCTTACAGCGAAATTGAACTTCTCCTGCGGGTTCATCCATTTTGATTTAATCTAGGAATAAATGAAAAGGAACAAATACTTCGATAATTATCATGAACAAACGCACAAAAGTAACTATACAAATATTACGTTCATCATGGGGGGGGGGGTGGTAGTGAATGCAAATATATGCGTATAGGTACAAGCATCTATTATTCGAAGTATTTTAATCAGAGTAGGGCTTGTGAGCTCATCCTTAAAAGCAAACCCTGATAGACCTACGGGCGTTGACATTGTCCCTGTACAATATAAACAAACCAAGAAATATAGTAGGAGAAATATGGGGCAAGGGCGGCGGCTATCGAGGGGCCTTGGGAGTTATGTGCCTTTCTTACGACGTTGCAAATTCGCAGTATTTTTGTCTTAAACCCATAGACGTAACTTCCTGATACCTGCATTATCCCTTCACGTTTTTTTTTTGCAATATATGCATGCAGGGTTGGGACACAAGCGATCAAATCATATTTTTTCCTATTTACAAATCATAATCGCGATTTCTTTTTTTTCTTTTTTTATCATTAATTTTGAATCCTTTTTCTATTCTTTTTTTTAATCGAGAAAATGTACAATTTATGTCAGTTTAGATCATGAAGATATTTTTCATTACCTCTAAATAAAATATATAATTGACAGAAAGAATAAAAACAAGGTTAACATTGTCTGATTTTTAAGTGATTGAATTGGGTATAATTTCTACGATGCGTAGGCCTACAGTAGTGGGTAAGGAAAGATTACGATGGCCTCAAGCATATTAATAAAGCTAAATTACCTAATAAATAGTATGATAAATCCTATGATAAATATACAAACATGAACGAAGGATAAAAACAGAGAATAGCATAGAGAAGTATAGAGAAAATAATAGAAAAGAAAAGAGTAAAGAAATACGCATATGATATGATGTAAGAAAAAAATTATAGGATAACATCAGAAAGAAAGATAGAAAAAAGTAGAGGAAACGGAGGGATCAAAAACAAAGAATTAAATATAGACAGAGAAAATGACAAAGCACAACGGTCACAACCGAAAATCATTGGAAACATTGATTATAGAAGGATATATAAACAAAGACAAAAAAATAATAACAGGGACAAAGAAATAATATGATAAAATTAAAGATGAAAGAAGAATAAAACAAAGGGAATTATAATTAGCCTATTCAGTTATAGAATAAAAACACGAAAGATGAAAATAGAATTAAAAATGGGGAAAATAGACGATAGGATGTCAAAGAATAACATAATGAAAGGTCGAAAAGAGAATAGAAACAAAAGAATACTTATATAGGAATTAGTAAATGATAGAAGAAAATATGAACCAGTGAGAAATCCGCAGGACGGCATAAGGGAGGATAGAAGAAAAAAATTAGGGAAGCATAGAACGATGAATAACGTTAGCAAAGATTTAAAGAAATAAAGAAACATATGGAGAATGGTAGAAGAATATATTGAAGGAAAAAGAAGAGTTGTAGTATACAAAGTATAAAATGGTCCTTCAGATGTAATATTTCTACATAATTATGTGCACAGAGTTGATGGGCTAACATATAGGCCTTCAATTTACAACAAAATAAACGATACTGTAGCACAAAACTGTATAAAAGTAGGGGGAAACAGCCATTTTTAAACATGTCAAACAAAGAATTCTTAGATAACACAAGTCAATGGCATATCAGATGATTCAGATCAACAATGGGATGATTTAAATCACGACAAACCCTGCATCTACAGACCACATACAGAAAGAAAAATCTACAATCTTTGAAAGGAAAATAACATGCATAAAAATATACTCTAACATACATTTAGTTTAATTGTTTTTCAATAACTTGAAATGCACTTCACAAAATGAGTTATTTACAAAACCATATATCGAATGGATCCTGTCTTAATCAATTGAGGTCTGAAGAAAAAAAATTATGCTTGTTTGTCTGTTTGTTTTACTTTCTTTAAATGTTGTATATAGCTATTTGCCTTTTGTAATTCAGGAGTGCACAAAAATAACGTCATATATTCGACAGCCCTAATTAATTCTTCACAAAATTTGACCACGTCATTGACAAGTGAGAGACAACTCAAAAATGATTTAAAAATGTAAAGAATACAAAATTATAGGTGGCAGCTGTACCTACTGCCCCCCCCCCCCCCCCCCCCTCCTTTCCCTCGTATGACAATTATTAAGTTGTTACTTGAAGGGTGGGGGGAGGATTGGGGGAGGGGGAGGGGCGGTTGTGTGTTTGAGTGTTAGTATGAGAGTGTTGATGGTGTGTGTGTGAGGGGGGGGGGGGGGGGTAGAGCGGATTGTCTCATTCCTCGACTTTGCTCCTCCAACCTGTTGGTGGTCTGGAGTTTCCATTGTACCTGTGGATGGCTTATTATTTTTACTCCTTTTTCTTCATTTTGGGCCCAACAAAATTTTCAGTTTCTGATGCAATGCTATCTCGAGGTTCTTGCTTTTGTACTTGTAATTGTTATAATTCTGATTATTTCTATTACGTGTACTCTGCCTCCCCCCCCCCCCCCCCCCCCCAGATCACCTCAATCGTTTGTAAATATCTTAATTTGTCATTAATTTCTTTTGTAACTCAGCATTTGTATTTTTTTGGAAAGTTTGTAGACTATATGTTATGATTTGATTTCTTAATTTTAAAAAAAATAAATAAAAAATAAAAAATAAAAGTTGTTATTTGTAAGTATTTTTACGCAATAGGCAGTAGTGCAAACAAGTCCTCTCCTATCTTTAGAAAATAAAAGCAAATTCTGTCACAAGTTTTGAAAGTAATCATGCCCTTTTGACATAAACTTTTTATTACTATTTTCCTTCCTGATAAGATGAAATGCGCTTTTCTTTCAAGCGAGCGTAGATGGAGCAACCACTCCGAAGCTACGCACCAAGTACAGCCCCTGAGGTGAAGGACGTTACCCCATCAGCTCCTCCCGTCGATCTCTAGTCTAAGGGAAGGGGGGATCCGACCTGCCACTTGTGCCTTTCAAACACAAAAGTCAAACTCCAATTTTCATGTATTGCATCGCAGCCTGGTCTACATATCTCGTGAGCCCCAAATAAAGACTTGACTTTTGCAAGACTACATTACAATTAAAAATAAGGATAGTAAGTGTTTCTTTCGACATAGTCTAGACAGTCATTGAGCCAGTGGTTTTGCTTCACAGGCTGACTATCAAAATATCGTACAATCAACACAATTCGAAGTCTAGCACACACAACTCAGTACGTACGTACACGTACACAAACGAGCTCAAATGCAATGGGAGCCTATGTTGTGTGCGTGAATAGGCTCTGCACGGGCCGCCATCTTGAAACATGTTTAACGGCGAACAAAAATACACATGTAAAATTACAATTTAGTCACAAATAACGATAGTATTCTCCATGTTAATCAAACAAAAACAATCTTAAGATTATTATGTAACTTACCAAGGTAATGAAGAACAAAATATCGAAAGGGAAGTAAAATTCTGGCTTGAAATTCTTGGTTTCTTGACTAGGTATCGCAGTCTAAGTTTCTACTGATTAGACTTGTGCGAGTCGTGTTTGCATAAAATTGATTGAGAAGAACAGAGCATGCGCAAATGGTGCGCACTTTTCCCTAGGACCTATATATTCGATCATAAAAGATTTATCTTCTTTCTCTTCGATCGTTTCTTTGATTAATGTGGAATCATTTACAGTGTTTAAGAAGAAATCGGGTATTTAGAACAGGCTACTGAGCCTAGTCAAAAGTCGATGAATATTTTAAGCTTTATCCCACGAAAATTACAGTTATAGTTGGAAATAGTGAATTTTCCCCACAGAAGTTGGCGTTACTGCACGAGTTAAAGATGAAGAGTTTCATTTGAATACACCAAATTTCTCTCTCTCTCTCTCTCTCTCTCTCCCTTTCTTTCTTTTTTTCTATCTAGAAATATATACATTCAAGCTTCATTTAAAGGGATTGGATCGCCAGTTTCCATGTGCAGAAGGCCATAATTCGCTGACACCAGACTTGGTGGAAATACCATTAATGGGGGTACAAATTTGCACACAGCAAACCCATAGTCCAGTCAAGAATTACCCCCTAATCTCTCTGAGAGCTCGAGAGTCTTCGGGCAAATCAAAGCATTACATAAGGTCCAATGGTCATAAAACTCAAGGCTAACCCTGGTGATTGACAACACCTGTTATTGGGTAAACACCCGAACGGTGTCGAATTCCCCATGAGAGCCGACTACTCAGTGACTTTAAACAAAAACCTAGTTGGGTGTAAATATAAAACCATCATTTTGTAAAAAAAAAAAAAGAGATACCAACATTGTAAATGATTTGTATTTCGAAAGTTGAAAATGCAACAATCTGTCTAAATTAGCTTGATATAGTAGTCAATAATCGACTATACATTTTTTTATTTTATCCTGGACCTAAAAAATCATGTTATTCGTGTAAAACCTCACAAGGTTAATCATTATGAGAATACCTTAGAGGGACATTAATTTGAAAACAGAGAATCCTGCTAATTGACAATCACCCTTTTCACTCTCTCTGTGGAGGCTAAAGTTTGACTGTGTAAAGGCAGAGTAGCAATGTTTATGATTCTTCATTACTGCTTTAAATTAATGGATGACGAAAAATTACATATTACATTGAACTTTTGATTTTATTTATTTCTCTCTCTCTCTCTCTCACTTTTATCTCCCTCCCATCCCTCTTTCACTCTGTATTCCTTTCTTTCTTTCTCTCTCTCTCCCAACCACCTTCCATCTTCTTCTTCTTTCATCATTCTTTGTTTCTTATCTCTCTCTCTCCCTCTCTCTCTCGTTTCTCATTATTAATGAGAAATGACAAAATATAACACAATGTCTATATAATTTTGTTTTTATTGAAGTTAGCTATTTTGTAACAAATATTCAACCTCGAGGTAATCAGCTGCAAAAATGGTAAAGCTTTATTGTTTTGTCAGCAAAGAAAATATGAAAGAAATACAATCAACTTTTATAATGGATTGGGGGAGCAACAAAGAAACTTTAGGTTGACAATTTGTCCATATCTTACTCCTGCCAGATTTCCTTGTGACTGTGAGACAAATACATTACAATAACCCCATACATGCCCCCCCCCCCTTCCCTCACCCCACCCTGGTGACAGGCCCAATTGCGAGTCAAGATTCTACTTGTACTCTTGTAGGGGCATAGTTCTGAATTTTTGAAGAAGTGTACACTACAAAACATTCCAATGTGATACAACTATGAATTGATACTGTACACAAATTAGAATAATATAAATGCAATTATATTATTATTTAATAAAATTAAAATTAAATTATTTATCAGGGATGCTAGTCTCTCCTAGGACCTGAAGGGTATAGCCTTAGACAGTTTTGAATCTATACCACGTAAAATTTTGAGTGCTGCGGTTGATACCATAATCAGAGATTTACATGGAAATACCATTTTGAATGGAGATGTGGATGATCAGGCCAGGTTTTTAACAAGGAGAAAAATTGACTTCAATTTAATTCTTTCTTGTTCCCTTTTTTTTTTAAATTTGTGAAAGTAGTAGAATACAAAAATGTCTGACTTTAAAATATGTCTACAGGGAATATTTCACTACGAGGACCAAAACTATCAAGGTGGTATTGCTGTGATAATGGCAATTATTATCTTGGTAGATAACAAAGGTTATTGTCTAAGAGTGTAAGGTAAATTCTGTGAACTTCATCATGTGCACTTATATATTTCGACCTCATTTTCAAACTCCTGACGGGATAGATTCTTGAGGATTACAAGGCAAGCCATCACCACTTTGTCCCGTTGCCGGTATTGTCATTACCGTGTCTGCGACTGTAAAGGTCTTGCAGGTGTTTACCGAGGGCTCAACTGGAATACCGCCTTCTATACAGCCCCCAACTGCTGGGTTAGACTCCATACTGGTTTCTTGCTGCGTAAAGATATACAAATTATATAGGACAAAAATCAGTATAGCGTAAATAATTCATTCATAGAATAACAATAATTATCAGAAGTGACTCAAAATGTTGAACCATTAAGGTCTTGACATCGACACATTACCAGTCATGTTAGTTCTGTAAAGTTGATTCTCTTTTTTTAATTCTTAATTCATAAAATCATATACGGTTCCCATGGGTAATCTCATTGACTATCGATGCTCAAAATAACATAATAATATGCATGCAGTACACGAAACTTAGGTAAGAAAAGAAAAGTGACGAAAATATAAATGAATACGATGTTTTTTCAAATAAAAAAAATATGTACATACACTGTACTTTTACAAAAATTATTTTAATATTTTTGTTTGCATCTATGTGTCACAGAACAAAAATTGATCATCCAAAAATATAAAATGAGCACAGCTAAAAAAATATCAAAATTTTCTTCCAGGTATATGTATATATCTCGGGAGGTTTTTATTGATCATGACCAAAGGTGATGTTCTGAAAATGTTTCATTAGATTGATCTGCAGTTACTCACTTCTAAATGTAAGATTTTGAAATAGAAGGGGCACCCACCAATGTTATGGGAGTGAGCCAAAATATAAAAAGGCTGTGCGAAAATAAAAAATGTGTGTATACATATACAGACCAGGCCAGCCCTCATCCCTGGATTCACCACTGTGTTGCATCAAGCGAGTAATACTCACGTTTTGCTGGACAGTTTGAAGAATAGTTATCCGGCCCCCATCTCCACCAGCAGTTGGAAGTTCTGTAGCATGGGTTCCAGGTTCAAGCTGCGCTAATGCCAGTACAGCCACTTCAACATCCCTGTTCATCGTTGAAGAGACAATGCTCCCGTCTTCCCTGACGTGCAGCACCTCCACGGCCTCCTCAGATTGACCGGCATTGCCATCATGGGTGATGAAGATCTCCATACGACTTGATTGGAGCTGAAGCTGCGAGGAGTCTCCATGTTGGATGTGGGCTAACACCTGCTCCCCGACGCCTGGGGTCACACCCAGGGCATCCTCACCGATCTGGACAATCTGTATCTCTTCATCACCGCCACCCAGGTAGGTCCTCTGAGCATCATCCCCGGAAAACTGCAACACTTGCAGTTCATTCCCTGGTGCGTTACTAGCATCCTGTTTTCCCGAAAGTTCATCTAGGCATATGTCAACTTGATCAGTTTGTGAGCTGTTCAGCACCAAATCCCCCAGCATGTTCCCGACACCAGACTGCCCACGGGTCTTCCCTGTCGGTGCTTTCGGCATCTCGGGCAAAACAGTGCCTTTCAGCAGTTCAAGTTCCACAGCAACTGGCTCGTCTTGCATGTCATCACCCAACTTCTTTTTGTGTTGGTTGATATGTTTCCACATGTTTCCACTGTAGGCAGTCCTCCAACCACATACCTTGCACAGATATGGTTCTACGTCAAGATGACGCCGCATTATGTGCTCGGAAAGACGCTTTTTTGATGCAGCTAAAACGAAGAAAAAATCAAGCTGATGGTCTGAATTATTTGTCAAAAGTATTACATCCTATATCCTCCAAATCATCCATATATGAAACAGAAAGCACCAAACAACAATTTAATTCTTACAAATAAACAGTCAATGAACAAAAGGTGTTCTTTATGAGAAATACTTAAGTTAAATTGTACAATATGCTCCAGCGGTTTATTTCTAATGTCTATGAAGTTCCAAACTTCAACCTTGAACTCAACAATTTTATCTAGCCATACCCCCAAATTGCAACCTAGGCTCTAGCCCTACGTTTTTGACGAAATAGTGTCCCAGGAGTTTCCCCCTATCCCTGCTGTTGGTGCCAAAGACATAGATCTACAGCAAATTGATAGTTTTTCAATAGTTCAATATCTAAAGAATCTCAGGGAACCCCAAGCTTGCCAAGAGTGGTATGTATGATAAGGGACAACTTTGCCAAGGTCAGGGATGACGTCACTTGCCCAAACCAAAACATAGCACAATATCATGGTGAAAATGTATGTTTAGATATCTTATCTGATATATTTTTAATAAAATATATTAGATAAGATTTTTTTTTAAATAGACCCCCTCACTGCACCCCCCCCCCCCCCCCCCCCCCCAGCCTTGTACGCCTATGTGTATGACGGTATAGAATGGTTTACAAACCTTTGAAATTGCAGTCAGGGCAGGAAGCAGACTGAAAGCCATCATGCGTTTGCATGTGTATCTTAAGATGATTCTTGGTCTTGCTGGCATATGGACATAGGTGGCACTTAAACCGACGTTGCTCCATGTGGATCCTCATGTGGAACTCCAGGCTCTGTCGCTTATGACCTACGTAGTCGCAGTGAGGACAGTTGTGGTAGATGGGGTTCTTGAGCATCGATTTGTGGTGCTGTTTGATGTGATCCTGCAAGAAGGGGTAGAAAATGTGGACGTAATTACCAAGATGAAGAAGATGACAACAACAAATTGAGACTTCAGATATTTATGATTTTGTAAATGCTTCAAATTCACAAATAACACACCTTAAGGTGTTTTGTTGTGAGACAAATTTATCTCTATCATCTTCAGGCTCCTAATAAGTTATGATACCTCATATACTAATCTCCCTATAATCAATAATGCACTTTCGTCTTCATAAACATTACAGATTAACCTACTGATACCCCTGGATACTTGGACCCTTTTAATTTATGTTAGATAACTTTCTCCAAGCTCTTTCATCAAATCTGTGATAAGGTGTTGCACAATTTCTTAGGACATCACAATACTGTAGTATTCTTAATACAAGTACTTACTCTAAGGATTGATTTATCTGCACATTTATACGGGCATGCTGAACACGTGACAGTCATTTGCTCCTTAGAAGAATGCTTCCTGTACTCGTGGACCTTCAGATTGTATTGATTGGCCAGCCACTTTCCACACTGGTCACACATAACGCCCTTCTGTCCCGTGTGTATAGCCAGATGTGCGTTCATTTGATAGAACTTATCGGTTGCAAAGGGACATTGTTCGCACTGATGTCGCATCAGCTTTCTCTTGTGCTCATTGCGGTAGTGGTTTTTCAGCATCTCGCTACCATCGCAGACGTTTCCACAATCTGGGCAGAACAGCATCTTCTCTTGACTTGTCTCATGTTCTTTTTTGTGCGCTTCCATGGTGTTTTCATCCTTGAATTTGGACAAACAGAGATCACATACAAACGTGACTTTACCCCTGTGATCATTCTCGGTCGCATCACTGTCACCAACTACATCACGTAATCGCCTTTTCTTATTCTTTTTCCGGCTCTCACCAGTCTCGTCTGGACGAACCTGTCGCCTCTTGCGCACAGATGTAGGAACCAGTTGTTCTTCTGCCTCATCTATCTCAAACTCCTTGTGATCGAATTCCCCCTTCAGTATTCTATCTAGAAGATCTTCTTTGAAATGCTTGTCCATGACATGCTTGCAAAGTTGATTAGATCGAATGAACTTACGTTCACAGTTCTCTTGGTCGCACTGAAAAGTTCTCTCTATCCACATTTTGTGCTTGTTCCTTAGATGTTTCCGCATGAGCCACCAATAAATGCACATGAATTCACAATTGGGACATCGCAGGCCATCCATAGATTTAACATGACAGGATTCGTGCAGTTTCATCTCATTTTCCGTCAATTTCATCAAACAGTTTGCGAAAGAACAAGTTTGAAACAAGCCCTCTTTTTTTCTCTCCTGTTCTATTTTCCAATCGTTCACCATGTGGTCCAGCTTTTTCTTGAACTTCTCGATTGGTATTGGCAGTCTCTTAATCTTTTGATTAATTGTCTCAACTTTGATAGATGTACTTGATGCTTTAGAACTTCTTCTCGTTGATCTTGATGAAGTCACGTTCTGTGAAAGCTCTGTCTTTTCTTTGACAGTATTCAACAGCTTTGGAACGGCCCTTTTCCCAATAGGCTTTTGAGTCTCGCCTTTGGTTTTGGAAACGGTCTTTTGTTTACAACTCGCAACTTCAGAAGAACCTTCTTCAACCTGTTGACTGATTACGTTTCCCTCGTCTTTCCTCATCGTTTCATGACTGTCATTTTTCTGTAATGTTTTCATGCTCGCAGGAGACATACTCTTATCAACTTTTGTGTCTGTCACGTTTGACTGATCATCCTCTGTTTTAAACCTCTTAGGAGTGCTCTTCTTTCTCTTCCCACGACCTAGACCCTCATCGTTACTCTCCTGTGCACTACTTCCATCTGCTTTCTTAACCACAGCTTGCCTCCTGGACCTAGTATTAGCACTTCTCACTTCTTTTCCACATTTATCTGAATCCTCTGCTAATCTATTCTGATCCTCATCTTCAAGCAAATTTGAACCATCTGCAGTTGTGGATGTAGTCGTTTTTCCTTTCCTCTGACTGCGTCTTCGTAGTGTCCTCCCTGGTTCTTCACCATTTGTTGTCTCCTTCTGAGCTGGACTTTCTTCCATGCAAGCTTGAGAAGTATCGACGACAGGCTCACTGAGAGAACAGAAGTCAACGTCCATATGCTGCTTCAGAAAATGGACAGCAATCGCCTCTTGGGTACCATTGGTGTAGGGGCATATCTTGCAACTATACATCACATTGGCCTTGGCTGCTTGTTCGGTAGACATCATGCCACAGTTGTCTCTGTTAACAAATAAAATTGTAGACGATTAAAACGATTACTTCTTAAAGTTCTCATAATCTTCTTCAGATTGGCAAAAATCTCAAACATTAATACATTTAATATGAAAGATGCACAATTAATGTTTTACTAAGACAGTTTTAAATGAAATTCATCCTAGCTTTATAACTTTAAATGAGACAAGCCTTTATAGAATTTTTTGTCTGTCATTTTGTCTTATAAATTTTATTTCAAAGGCTGTAGTGTTAAATGACGAAAAGTGATTGCTGGTATCTTCTTCTCCAAGCTTCTTCTACTAGTAATAATCTTCAATTCAAAGTGCAATATATATGCATCCTATCAAGTATCATGAAGATGAACTAAACTAGTAAGATTGCAAGCGGTGTGGAAATGAGGGTTTTTTTTATGTGACACAAAGGCAAAGGGCAAGGGCAACAATGCATGAGATGCCCCCGGAGTATAGTCCTGGACATGATGGAAGTTCTCTGGACTGGGTTGTTAGTATATACTACTTCTTCCAGGGATGTTAGCTAGTATTTGTTGTATTATTTGGAGAAAAAGTATTAATGCTTTCAAAATAATGCACATGCAGCAGACCGATCGAGACCATCGACTACTGCTTGTGACTTGTTTTGTGTAATGATAACATGCAACAGGTAAATAAAGCATCTTTTCGAATTGTCTTTATAAAAACTAAGTTTTGCCTTTCATCCCAAACATTTTTTTTTAATTGTGTCAATATGCACAACTAATCATAAAATAATCTACGGAGAGTCATCATATATGAAAAGGTGAGGATGCGTCAACTTTGCAGTAGCAGACGCTATTTACGTCCAACTGCACCTCAATCTCGCGTCCATTTTGTGTGCACAAAATCACAGCACGAACGTACATGCATACAATGTACAATGCAAGAATATACACTCACAGGAACTGTACACGAGGTTGTGAAACAGCCTCAAAACCACAATTTGATCACTAAATTATACCCCCTAGGTAGTTACATCTCAATTGATGATAGTTATTAACTTTTTTACCCAATCATCATTGATATCTTAAGAAATACTTAGTTCGGTAATTTTAATTGATTTTACCCTGTCTTGGAGTAAATTAGGTGAGACTTTGTCTTGTGAAAACCCGCGGCATACTTCCTTGTCTGGAGAGAAAACTGCGTCAATGCGTAGTCTAAGAATACAGTCGTTATATTTTTTTTTAATCAAAATAATGCAGAAACTTTGAGTTTATAGGCCCACTTATCTATCCGGGAAAAAATGGCATAGATCTAGATCTATACAATTAAGTTTACAAAATAAGGGGCAGCTTGACCATAGATGGCCACCGAACCCATCACGTCGCCAAAAAGCGTCAGATGTCATTGCATTGGCTCTGAAAATTATTGCACAATTCATATGCAACTAGTCTAAGGGCTGTCGCGTAAGAATACGTACATCTCGGGTATATTCTCCTTTCACGTGTGTATGTTCGAGACGAGGCTACTCTGCTTAGCTTACAATTTTGACAATTCACTGTTAAAAAATCTTCAAATATGGCTCTTCGAACACAGTTTGAAAGCAACAATGATATTGGGGTGTTTTGCAAACTTACAAATGCATACTGCCTCGTGGCGATAGGAGGTTCTGAAAACTTTTACAGGTAAGCACGAGCAAGAACTTTTATTGTAGTCCCGCACGCTTCAAAACATGTTGTAGAAAATCAGAATTGTATTGTTATTTGATTTAAAAAATGATGCCGTCTATTGTGTTTTCTCTCCATGATTTCCTCATGTCGTGATCGATGATGTTTTAACAAGTAACATGAAGGGATATTGCAATTTATATAATACAGGAAATGAAAGAATTATTTGTATTTCTAAAACTGAATTGTCGATTGAATGAAGCAAGCCAATAAATTCAGTAGGGGCGCTGGTCCGAGAATGAGGATTGTCCGCATAAATGAGGAAATCGTCATTTAACGCGGAAAAATCATGGGCGTCTTTTCTTCAGCAGTAGGGGCGCTGGTCCGAGAATAAGGATCGTCTTCATAAACGAGGATCGTCTTTGTAAACACGGACTGATGCGTCCTCAAAAATAAGGACCGTCTGCATTTTTGCAGACGTTTCATATTTTTGATCGGTGCATTGGCGATGCAAAAAACGGATTCTGCAATGATTTTCTTGATGCATTTTACATTGACATTGTACAGAGACTTTCACATTATAAGCAATAAATCCTTGGGAAGACGGACAACCCATAAAAGTAGACGGTGAACTAGGGTTATTTTCCCCCGGGGAATCCATTTTTGGCATCGCCAGCAGGCCGTTCTGTAACATGAAACCCCCAGAGCGCCAATGAAAAAAAACGTTCCTCAAAAATGCAGACAACCCTTATTTTTGAGGACGCATTTTGTCCTCGTTTATGAGGATATCCTTGTTTATGAGGACGATCCTCATTCTTGGACCAGTGCCCCTACTGTTCAGTGCCCTATGGGTGTAGGGACTATGGTTCCCAATCCACGTGCTGGAAATGTGAAAACCGGATTCCGCGTAATGCCTAATGGGTTGTCCGTCTTCCCGAGGATTTATCGTTTATGACATGAAAATCTCTGTGTAAAGTGAATGCAAAGTGCATATTAAAGGAGCATCATCGCGGAATCCATTTTCACATCGCCAGCGCGCAGATCGGAAATCAGAATCGTTGGCGAAAATGCGGACGGACCTTATGTTTTAGGATGGGTCTGTCCGCGTTTATGGAGACAATCCTTATTCTCGGACGAGCGTCCCTACTGATAATAAAAATTGCAGATGTTTTAACAAATTGTAAGTTAGATTTAGATCTATTTAAAAGTTAAAGCACCCTTTATTGATTCTCAAAATCTTCAAGGCTCAAGCACCACAGTTCACAGAAAACCTTGTTTCTTCTGTCTTGACATGCTGGTTTAAAATAAAGCTCTAGTAGAGAACTCACCGATAGATCCGATGTCCAGATGTCCTTGTTGTGATGTGTCGCTGTGATGCTCCGATGCTCGATGTCTCCTTGTAGATTCTTACTTTTGGTTCTGGTTCTGTGTACTGTTCTGCTGAGGGCGGCAGGATTAAGCCTCCTTATGTACGGCGCACGCATGTACGTGCGGTCGAGTATGGAAAGCCATCCGACGCAAGCACATGCGTGCAGTCTGTATACCCGTAATTTCCCATACTTCAAAGACAAAAGGCAAAAATTAGATAAAATAATAAAACCTAAGTCAAAAGCCCAAGGAATGGATGAAAAAATGGATAAAAAATATATCCTACTTGGCTACTGTGATTATCTGCTGTGATTGTGTCAAACTTTACCTTGGTTTGTATACTTACCGCCCTAATCCCTGCCATACATGTACTTTTAGGTTTAGCCATCTACTATTGTACAAGGTTTCCTAGATAAATGTTCTTTCCATTTTGTGGTTATTCAAGCATTCTATTAAATATATTATGTTTCTCTTTACTCCTGCAGTTTATTTGAAGGAGAGCTTGGAGACGCCATTCCTGTTGTTCATTCTTCCATAAATGGCTGCAGAATCCTTGGAAGTCTTGCTGCAGGTAGGTGATCAGTGGGTCATGCCAACTCCGCACAAGGGCGATTCGGCAAAATAATTAAATACCTGGGACCAAAAAGAGAAGTTAGCTCTGGAGAAATCTTTCAGGGGCTTAATTAATTTTTAAAAATAAAGAGTCCTTGAAAAAATGACTAAACATGAAATCATCTTACTTGAAATCCAACTTCTTCATTAGGTTGTCTATCTTTGTTTTTGTCTTTTTCTTCTGCTTATCATCAAAGCAACTTGCATTAAAGTTGGATTGACATTTAATGTCATCCTTAAATCCCCTGAGATTGTAAACTGGTCTAAATATGCTCCACTTGTAGTTTTTCGTTCCATTTTGCATTTGGTGACTACACATGATCAAATAATTAAGTGGCACTCATTGAGAAATATTGAGAATGATCAGTGCAACTATTATTTTTCTGTTTTGACAGGCAACAGACACGGCCTGCTTGTCCCCAACTTCACAACGGATCAAGAACTACAACACATTCGCAATTCCCTTCCAGACAGTGTTAAAATCCAGAGAATAGAAGAAAAACTGTCTGCACTCGGTAATGTCATCTCCTGCAATGACTACGTAGCTTTAGTACACCCAGATCTGGACAAGGTGAGTCATCGTCAGAGGCAAACAAGTGGATTCATGGATGTATAGAAAGTAGTGGCTTAACTGCAGAGTGCCCCACTGTACCTGCTCAGTCTACCAAGGCTAGGGTCAAGGGCATGTGTTTTAGAATTTTAAAGACACCCTTTATCAATGTTTCAGGTGTTTACAAATTGGGGTGGGAAAAAGAATTTGTCTTTGTTTTTGCTCGCTCAAGGGGGGGGGGGGCGAGTGTTTGAAGAAGAAAAAGGATTGTTCATTCCCCCCCCCCCCCCCCCAACAACAACAACATTGAACAAAAAATAGTGCCGCTTCCCCCCTCCAAAAAAAAAAAAAAAACGCTCCTTATGATTAGCGTAAGGAGATGTTCTAAACAGGTTGCTAAACAGGGCAGATCCTAGGTATTTAATGATTATGTATCCCTTATCATACCAAGTTGATAAATAATGGAATAATGAACATATGATTATGATAATACTTTATCAAAAATTATTATTATCTTAAAAAATGTATGTAGCATGAACCATGCAAATGTTGGGCTATCATAACTGTCAGGCATGCTTAAAAAATTGAGTGAAGAAAGGTATGAAATACATACAAAGATAAACTAGAGTTCTTCTGAAAGAAACCATTACAAAGCAATTGGGGAAAACATTAATTACACATAAGAATTGATGTATACGGTACTGTAATGTTATGGATTGATCAAATGAAACGAAATCGTCCAAGCCTTGCTTAAAGGGCAAGTCCACTCCAAAAATAACTTACTTACAATAAAAGCAGAACAATCAGACAAACCAATCAAAAAAAGGTTGAGCAAAATCGGATAACTAATAAGAAAGTTATGAATTTTTGAAAAAGTATGTAAAACTATGGAACAATGAGAATCGCAACACAATTTGCCAAGATGGTTATCAGTTTGTGACGTCATGTCCTCACAACTTATCAAGTGCTTTATATAGTTTAATCCCATTAATTTCCCTTTTTATCCCCCAAAACTTGATTTCCCCATGCCTTTGCCCAGATTATATGATTTTTATCATATTGCGTGCATGACATTTCCCAAAAACTTTTATGAATTTTGAAGAATTGATACTATTTTCTGAATATTGTATTTCATAATTATTGATTTTTATATAAATAGTTTATAAAAATTAAAATTTTCATGATTTAACTGGACATAAATTACTCTTTATTTGTGCATCCACACATAAAAATATTACTAACAATCTAACTTGGATGCTGGTGTGAAGAAATAAGATTCTTAGGGTAAAAATAGGAAATTTATATTATCAATATAAAGAAAATAATTAGTGGATAGTGAGGACCATACATCACAGACTCATGAGTGAGTTGCCAATTTGTGTAGTGATTTTCAAAGTTCTTCATGTCATTAAAAATTCATCACTTTCTTATTAGTTATCAGATTTTGCTCAAACTTTTTTTGATTGGTTTGTCTGATTTTTCTGGTTCTATTGAAAGTAAGTTATTTTTGGAGTGGGCTTGGGCTTTAAAGATCACATGCACTGCAGACTGCACAAAGAAATGGCTATAGAAACTTCACAAAAATATTTGGTCCAACGTTTTCCACTCTATCATGTCATATTTTAATGCAGAGGCATTTGAAGGGACATCATTTTCAGGGGATAATTTTTCTATGATTATACATGTACTTCCAAACTTACTTACAAAGAGAGTGAGGAAAATCATCTCTACCTTCTCTTTGAGTTGTACAAGAATATAAAGGATATATTTGTTTAAGTTTGTTACAACTCATCTTGATTTAGTTTGTTTCAATATTTCCCTTCTTGTCACAGGAAACAGAAGAAATCATAGCAGATGTTCTCAAAGTCGAGGTGTTTAGACAAACAGTAGCTGATAATGTTCTGGTTGGTACTTACAGTGTCATCAGTAATCAGGGAGGATTGGTAAGTTCTAAATATCTGTGAGAAGTGAAGAGTTTGAATAATTTGAGGATTTCCTTGAAAAAATAGAGAAATGGTCCTTGATGAATGTTGTAGTTTAGAAGCATTCATCCATAATTAAATTATTGCAAGTATTGAATGACGAGGTTAAATACATTCACTACAGTAATAGCCCTTCCTAGGCTTTTGCTTCTATCTTTTCATACCTGGTGTTTGAGAAGGTGAAGAGTAGAAAAAGTAACCTTCGCTAATTGTAATGTATTCAACATAATTTGCTTTAATATTCAATTCATTCATGTTATGCAAAGAAAGCCAGGTAGAAAGGTTGATGGAACCCTTTATTTGTAATGTACAGTGCAGATGGACTGTCTATGCTGTATACAGCACATTATTATGAGGATTATTTACAGCTGCATAGGATGCATATATTTAAATTGTTATTTTTTATATCAGCCAAGTAGTGTAAACTGCAATTAAAATGTCTTAACATTTTAGACTGATTTTAGTACAATGTAAAGCAAACTTTGAATCAATTTTGATTCATGTAACTAATTGCTCAGCTTACTTGTCAATGGCCTATTAATCAATTTGACCCATTTTCTGTATCACAATAGGTACATCCAAAGACTTCAGTGCAGGAACAAAATGAACTCTCATCATTATTACAAGTTCCCTTAGTGGTGAGATATTTAATTTTCTTTATTCATTTGATTGATTAGGCTAAACTAGTTGCTGACTAGTAAGTCTGGTATGTAACTAAATGTTGGGGGCAGAATGAAATATATTTTCATTCATTTCATATTTCATATTCTTAATTTTAATCATCAAGGGTGGGGTGGTGGAGATAGGGGGTTGTCCAGCTGTTGGTTCATCTCAAAAGCCACCATAATATCTCAAATGCCAAAATGTGATAATTTTATTATTTCGGCAAGGGAGATTAGCTATTATCTTTCCAATACGAAAATTTGTAGATGTACTTTTTTGTAAATTCTATTCCATCATGTGATACATTCTTTTTCATGCCCCCCAGTTAGTGAGTATAGCTCCCCCTAAAAATAAATAGTAATAATACCGGGTAATAATTATAGAGTTCAGTGATTTTATTTGATTTCTTCAGTTTTCTTTGCAGTTTGCACAACATATCTCACTTGATATCCCTTTAACTTGAGATTTTTAACTCTTGTCCTAATGATTGCAACAGGCTGGTACAGTGAACCGTGGTAGCGATGTGTTAGGGGGAGGTATGGTAGTCAACGATTGGTGTGCGTTCTGCGGCTTGGACACAACAACCGCCGAGCTCTCAGTCATCGAAAAGGTCTTCAAACTCAGCGAGGGTCAGCCGGCCGCCATCGCCACGGAAATGAGAGATTCACTGGTAGATAGGTAGGTGTTATTTTATTATCTGAGTGGGCTTAACTCTGAAAGGCCTTGTGTCTGTTTTGCAGACTGAACCAAATTCATTAAAACTTTGCCTGAATCACACATAGATGTTTTGCAGGCCCTGTCTCTGAAATTTGAAAGCAAACACTGATCTAGTTTTCAAATGAAGCATGGAAAACCATTTTTTCATAGGCTTCCTGTCAGACTCAGTTCTTGTATTTTTGCTTTAAATAAGACATACCACGAAGTATCAATGGTATATCTTTCATAGAATGGCATTTAATCCAACTGTTTTGTTATCAACTAGTACTGAAAGTAAGGTTCATATGGATCTTTTGAAGATCTTTTGAAGTTCATATGAAATTCCATGTCGTAGTGAAAGATATTTGAAATTTCAAATAGTTGTTTGAACATATTTGTGGCTTACACCCAGTTCCTGTTATTACGTAACTTCCAAGTTTATGCTAAACGAATTGTTTTTGGTTTGCTTTTTTTTATTATACAGCTTGACATAAATATGGAAGGTAGCTTCAACCATGGAACCCCAATCTCATCATTGATCCTGTGGTATTCCTTATCAATCAACCAAGCGCTTATTACAATCACACATGGATTCATCAGAGCTATCGTCATAATTGAATGTCAAGAATATTATTGCAAGATAGAACAATGTCACTTAATAATCAAGTAATGATCACGTTTTGTAATGATCTCCCCCTATCCCCCTTCCCCCTTACCCCCTACCTCCCACTTTCAGATCCCATTGCAGGTCTATTCACAGGCCACAGATATCTGAAAAGCCATGCAGTGAGCTATGTTCACTGGTCAAAGTGGTTGCAATGTGTAAAACCACTTTAGCCATGCCCTGTAGCTATCACATTTATATTTGTTAAGCTTTCATACTCCTCTTACTGTAAATGTGGCCATAAACCTGAAGGCATTCAATGCCTGGTTTCGATTTTAATGATACAAGTTAATTTTTGATGATATCAGATGTGAGGAAATTAATTAAAGTAATGTTATGCCAGTGCAAGTACACCTGCGAAATCTATTGTCATATTAATGTTGTGTCAATGGCACAAGCAGGGACTAGTAACTAAGATTTGTTAACATTGCACAAAAGAGTACCCTTGTTTTAGTACCATTAAAATCAATTAACTGTTTAATGTTTTAGTGTATGTTTCGGGAAGGGGGTTTGAAAGAGAAAGTAAGCTCATCACATATGAGATATTTGTGTGATTGAGCTTGTGTAGTCTAGTTTCTGCAGGGAACTACATGTACAAGATATCAAGACTGTGCCAATTTTTTTTGTTTCTAGTCAACAACCCTTGTACATTATGTAACTTCCAACCCTTGTAATAATCATACAGATAAGCTAGCAACTGAAACTACTTTTGGACTTTTTGTATGGTGGATTCAGTGTGTATTGACAGGTTTATGTTGCTACAATGTGTGAGGGCAAACCTGTTGCAAGCTGTACTATACTTGAGACTTTGATCACTACCTCCTTATCTCGACTGCTCTGAGCAAGCATTGCTAAAGGAATAGCTGAGTTTTATAAGAACATCTTCTCGATCACATTTCCTCTCATGAAGTTGTTATTGCTGTTTGTTAACAACAGCAAAACTTTTGAAAAATTGTTTTGTTAAAGATACCTTAGTTTATAGTAACGATGGAGTCTAATTTCATTACCACAATTATTCTTAAAAATAAAGAAAGCAAAATTATACTCGTTTCTCATTATATATAAACTGCTTGAACAATGTTTATACAATTATTATAATCTTTTTCCATACTATTCGGAATATTCGCCTAATTATGATTGTTTCATTTGAAATATATTAGTCAGTTTCAATCAATTTTGATTGGAAACAAATCCCTGAATATGAAAAGAAGTTGGTCTCTATTTTGAATTGTTAAGAAAAATATCAAATGGGCTGGAAAAGGAAATGAATGTACTCTGTTAGATACTAGTATAAAGCATTATGAAAGCATTCCGTGTTTGGTATCAGACTGTACAGTACAATATAATTCATCAAGAATATTAATTATGATTAACCAATCATTTCTCTCTCACTGGTCTGCAAATCAGTTAGCTTCAATTATGCTCTACATATTTTTTTTTTCTTCAAAATTACAACTTTGGTCGCAACCTAGGATATTTTTTCCTGATTTAATAGGGATGTATATCACTGTAGTATTTGTATGACTTAATTATGATATGAAAGGAATTGAAGGGGGAAAGAGATAACGCTTTTTGGAGTATGTATTTTTTCTTGATAATAAATACTTTCTTGTACAGTAATGTGTCGCAGTTCAATTGCTTAAATTGTATGTAAGTACATAAAACTTAAAGCCCCCCTGCACTAGTTTGGCCAGGAGGGATTAGACCTCCCTGCATGGTCACTGACAGGTGGTTATTTCATCAAATCAGCTCTCAATTAACATAAAAAAGGTGACCATGGGGGATCAATGGCCACAGATTAGGTATTAGAGGGTGCAGGTAGCTATAAGTAGTGCAGTGGGGATTTAAGTATATATATATATATATATATATATATATATATATATATGGGAGTTGAGTTTCTTGTATATTCACATCTCTGCGAAACAAAACAACAAACACACCCATTTATCACATTACCCCCCCCCCCCCCACACACACACACACACACACACACTCACAGATATGAGATATGGTTCAAACAAAATAATAAGACGGCGTGACGCTTCAAGCTCACTGGCTTTGACCTTTTATTCGTTCACACAATTTGACAAAAAGAAGCCAACAGAATGATTACAAAAAGATGCACAGATTACACATTTCTAACAGCTACACAGCCTACATAGTTAGTTCTAATTACATGTATTTCTGTTCCGGCTGCAATAATGTTACTCTCCTATATACCTTGTTTGTTTCATAATATATTCATCAACCAAGATAAAGAAATAATTAGTTTGTTCACATTTAATACTCTGTACATGTAAAACCGTTTGCCCTGACTCGATGTGCCGGGTCAATCAGAACATTACCCTCAAGTTAGCTTTCCATAAATACTTTTCTCAATATTTATTCTGACAGCAGTATACTATGTTCCAGAACACAACAATCGCCGCAATATATTTTTCTACCTCGTGACGTAGACTCTCACGTTTGTGTTTGTTGATCTATAATTCACAATAGTTGGTAAACATCATTAAAATGTCATAAATATATAATACACGTATCGGCACATCAATAAAGACAAGATATCGATAATAGCATGAATGTTTCATAATATACATTATATTAAATGCAAATACATAATATTCATCCGAAGTCCAATCTTATTCAAAGATATCAAATAAATTATCATTTACATCAGAGTGAAAAATGATGGAATGTAATATCAATGTCTACTGAAACATACATTTCTACCATTCTCTCTACCTCATAAAGTTCATTCGTTAAAGAATAAACAAATGTTTAACGATAACACGTTGTGTAAATTCTAATTTTTTTACATACGCATTCTCCTAAATATTATGTGGTACGCTACACTTTTTTAAAGACATTACGTAATACTCAAAGCACAATGTCCAAGCCTGCTAATTATACTGGCATGGAGACGTTTAACAAAACAAAAAAGTCAGAAGGCCGCTTTTTGTGACGTTGTGATTTATCATCAGAAATTGCACAATGACAACACAAATTTATCCTACATAACTGTTACGATATAACCTAAATATTATTTCTTGGAATTATTTATTTTCATTTCAACGATAAAAACACGATTATTTATAAGTGTCTTCATTTCTAAAAATGCGTACTTGGCAAATCATCTATAAATTTTTCGCTATTAATGGAGCTTTTATCACAATACTCTGCATTTAAATGATACTGCATATTAAGGGCGATTCTCAAAACTTAAAATGTACATGTAATGTTTATATATTTGTTTTTTTTTCTTCTTCACATCATGGTACAAGTGACATCAAGTAAATCAAAACTTTTAATCACATGATGGTTGAGGCACAGTGATCATAACAATAAACAGTTCATCGTATGACAGAATAGACGTGTGTGTGTGTCGTGACATGAATTTCAATAGTGCCTACTGTTGGCTTGTGATATAACTATACATTTCAAAATATTGTGCGTCAGAATTTGGATATAGGGTTAACAAAAAGAAGTCCGTCGTGAATCGTTTTTAAGAAGATGCAACATAATTATATCTCACGCAACTAGCTCGCATCTTTTGTAATTTTCGTACCTTTTTTCTTCTTCTTACTAATCGCATTCATATTATTATTCTGCACTTTTGAAAATGTTTTAATATATCCCACCGATATATTCCGGAATGACAGTGTGAAATGTAAAGACATCTTCTTTTTTTTTAATTCAAATCTGATTAACAAGCTTTTGAAGTATCAATAACTAAATCTATGAATAAAAACAAAATCGTTCTCAATCCCGAATAGACAGAATTTTTATCATATACAATTCTTCTGGTTGTTCTTTCTTTTTATTATTCTTACAAAGTACTTATTAACTTTGTAACATGTGCTTTACCGGTTGTGTCTAGGGAAGTGTATAATTGTACCTTTAGCATTCACATTCTTCTAAATGAGAACGTTTAGCTTGATATGGATTTATAATTATCCAATAATTTATGATAATTACGTTTTGAACATTTTCTACACTATGAATAACTTTGTGAATGTATGAATAAATAGGATTCAGTGTTATTTTAGCCTGCAAAAGATGATTATTCTCTGGTAAATAATCATGTTTTTAACACATTTGACGCTGCTGAGAATTGCACTGTGAATGTGTGAATAGGCAGATTACCGTTTAACGTAAGAATTGCACGTTGATTGATGATATATCAGGCAAGTTTGGGGGTTTCTTTTCAGGGGTAGGTGTGAAAGAAATGAGGCGATCTTTGGAATTCAACTTGAACGCTGTACCACAAGCTTAGAGACCCTTGTAGACGTTGAGACACATGGCCAGCTCCTCCAAGTTGATCTTGCCGTCTCGATTGATGTCAAAGAAATTTAAGATGGATTTCTTGGATAACTCCAGTTGAGACATGTCCATGTCAGAATCCGTCTGTAAAGAAAGAAATAAATAAAACATAACTCGGTACGGTTCACTTTCAACTCAATTTCAGTTGATTTGAATTATATGCGTATAAAGTCAAACACACAAAAGTATACATGCACCTACACTCATGTATACTAAAAAAATGTAGCATTTTCACTGGTTGGTATTGATGTAATATTATTTATTTAAGTATTCATTTTATCTATTCCGATTATAAAAGAATCTATTCAATTTCTTATCAATAAACTGTTTGAAATAAATAAAGAAATGAATAAAATACAGAAGGTATAGAATAGAATATACAAACACATATCAAAATACAGAGGTAATTATGAAAATTAAATTGAACACGAGTAGGAATCCACCGTATTTTGGAGCCACATTTATCGATTCGTTTTTTAGGTAGAAATCTATGCTAAAACCGTAGGATCCACTCTCAGCAGTTTATTTTGGAGTGAATTCCACATTCCACTATTATTGTGAAATTAATGGATTTCAACTCCAAAATCTGTGATCGATAACATGATCCCTGATAGATAGTTTACACTCATCTGCATGACGAAAGTAAGGGCCCTACTAAATAAAGTGATTAGTGTGTCGAGGCTATGCCGATAAACAGCAAATTAATGTCAATTAAAAGTATGATATGTACTTACAAAATACATAATGGGGTACATAGGTTTTAGGGTTGAAAGCTATGAGTAGACAATTTTCGGAAGAACTTTGATTGCTAAGAAAAACAACAGCGCAGTTCCAAATGGGTGCTTACTTGATTCCATAGTATTACTTCTTTTTGTAATTGGCTATACTTTTGCAATGAGTGGATTTGAATTATGTCTTCATTGACCGACATTTAGCATTGTGCTAAAAAGAGATATGTTCCGCTCACCGTCTCCTTCTCCTATCCTTATGAAATAATTCATTTATATCACGGGATTCATGAAATCGTATTCCCGGGAAAATTCACCTTGTGAGGAAGGTTGGATTGCCTTTTAAAGGGAAAGTCAGCCCTGAAAAATTATTGAATTGGCAACTCGGTGACGAATATTTCGGAGTCCTCTCCCATTTCCTCTGAACTTTTTTTTTTCTTAGTAAGACTTGTTTCACGTAGGGATTGAGTGAATTCATATTTGCAATGATTATAGCTAGGGTGTATTTCCCTTTAAACACTTACATCCATGAGATCCGAGATGAACGCATCAAGCCGCTCTCCTTCTAGCTCGTTACCCCCATCCTAGCAAAATAAAAACAACATTCCACCTTATTTCATTTCGTATCGATTTCACAACCATGATCACAAGCATTGTATGAATATCTGATGGTTTAAAAGGTCAAAATGGGATAAAACAATTAAATGATTCATGAAAATATTGATTAAAAAAAGAGAAATATTGAGAGGGTAAATTCCTTCTATATATATACTCTACGAGACATTGGACAGTGGTATTTCTAGAATATGTTGCCCAATGATCAAATTTGGACAAAAGATGGCCCTAAATCCCCTAATATACTTTGCATACAATTCTCCCATTTAGTAAGATTTAAGCACCAATGCGTCTTGCACTCTTTAGCAATATGCGCTGAAACCTGTAAAGTCCACGTTATTAATAAGACCGCTCAAGGAATTGTTTGCTAAAACATGTTATATTGTATTTCAGAGGGTGTAGCGTACCCCCCCCCCCCTTTCCCAACTCAGGGTTATTTAGGGTACGCGTATGCATGTTCCCTCTTTTTGAAAGCACCCCCCTATATCTATAAAGTCAATGGCGGTCCGGACTTTGTCGCACGAAAAATTACCCCTTTACCGGAGATTTGGGAAACAGGCATGCGGTCCAATCCCGGGGGGGGGGGGGCGGGAGCGTGCAGAATGGCAGAAAGTAAATATACAACGACGCAGAATAGTGCAAGAATATTGTCAAGACAGGTTGTGTGTCCGGAGGATTGATTTAAAACAGCGATTTGAAGAAGTTTACAAGCAATATTTCATAAATCTTCTGAGACTAAACTTTTGACAATGTCAAAACGGACAAATATTCATGATGGTATTTGATGAATATCCTTCGTTCAATCTGAAGACATAAGAAAACTAAGGCTTTATGTTTAAGTTTCCAGACACCGGCCCCACACCTACCATATACTACAACTGCACGTTCTTGATTAACTAGTACTTTGTTCTCGCAGTGCCGGTGCGCACGAGGCGTCATTTCAATTGCGCCATTACCTAGCTGGCTAATATCAAGGCTGTAGCGCGCATACGCCAGTAACTCAAAGCTATGTTTGCCCAGTTCATAATGCATTCATTCTATGTCCAAGGCCGCTCTCGAATGGCGCATCAAAGTCCGCACAAGCCGATGACGCTAACGCAGTCCTGCGCCAGCACAAATTGACGCATCATGTGCAATGGGGCATATATAGTAGTATGTATACCTGTGCGTAATGTTGAAAGACCCTGTTGATGTGACGTCTCTTCTCCTTCTCTGACATGTTCTAAAATTAAAATTATATAAATGTGTCTTATTAACTCATAGGCCTGATACAGTATAAGAATTATTTTTTTAATGAATGCCAAATTTATTTTAAAAAACATACAAGATTTTCAACTGTTTGGTTAAGTTGCCCATAATAACTCTTTTTCTATTTTTAGTCCATAAGTTGGCTACGCAGTTGTAGACATGCAAATATACGGCCCATGTTAATGTTGCCTCAGATCAAGTTTTTGGATGGTGGCCTTTTCATCTTTTCTCTTTCTTCCTCATCCTTTCTTCTTCTCCTTCTCCTTCTCCTTCTCCTTCTCCTTCTCCTTTTTTTTACTGGTCGCAATCAAGTAATGTTACCAACAATAATGCAACAGGTCTTGCTTGAATATTCTACTTGAAAATGACGGTAAAGGCATATTAGCCCCCTCAAACCAACCCCCATTGTTATGTTACGTTCCGTTACCTTTAACATATAGAGAATAGATCATACGATTGGTGTAAAAATATATATATCTATATATTAATCATATGACATTTTTCAGGCTGATCTCTGTCGAATGTATTCGCTTACCTTTACTTTCTCGTCAAATTGGCTCAAGAAATTCGTTTCTGATTTGATGTTCAACAACCTGCAGAGGAGAAATTATAGACAAATATAAATGTCAAGAAAATAATGCATAGATAGACACACTGTGTGGCGTTAGAAACGGAGCCGAGGGCGCACGGTGGGCTCTGTAATTTCGCAAAATAAAAAGTAAAATATTTGGGCAGTTATCTATTCGTAACTATTATATCTTATTGGCTATATTTTTCGTGAAAAAATTACATTCTTAATCTAAAAAAGAGCAAGTCAAATTTCAGGCAGCAAGACGTCACCCCCCCCCCCCCCCCCCTTCCTGGTGAAACTGCACCTGCACGTCTCGTATTATACACAACTCATTGCCTGTAACACGTGCGCCAAATTCTGTGTAGAGAACGAGGCCATCAGAATCTTAAAAGCTAAGTTTACAAGTTTTTAGGATGATACGAATATTTATCCTGATAGGCCTACATTTTTTATCATGATTATAATTGTGTTCATTATAATGCGATGACTTCTGATGAAATTGATTGCATCATTATGAGACAAAGATTCACTTAACAAAAACGAATTTTGCAATTAGTAAAAATCCAGTAAATAATATTAATGAAATAAAGGATGGCATAAACTGATGATGACTTTATTCAAACAGGAAGAAAACGTGATGGGCCAATGGTAGATCAGTGATGCGTTCACAGCCAAGTCGATGCGTTATACCTTCTGTTGATAAAACATTAATCCTCATACCACGTCCCTCTGATAGGACTCAAAGCCATAGGCCCCCTCCTTGTTGCTTGCCTCCAAGAATAATTATTTTATTCGATATCTTAGCCGTAAAGTAAAGTGAATCATCATCAACATCATCATCAACATTTTCATCATCGTCGATTCCTAAATAAAAGCACTGTGCAACTAATAAAGCAAGGTTTTCATTTGGGTGAATGGGCTGTGTATACTTACTTTGACATCTCTCGTAAACCAAGTCGACCATCGTTATTCCTGTCACAAATCTTGAGCTGAGGAATAATTGATGAAAAAAGACCAATAAAAAATCAATCTCCTTGTTATCATAAAAACTTCTTCTACATCTGCTATGTGTTCTCTTTTAAAATGGATCAACATTTTTCGCCACTTCTGGATTCCATTTGCGTTATGAAAAGAGCTTATGCTTTGATTCTTTTTTTTTTCTTCTCAAAACCCTAATATTGTTCTTTTTCCCCTTTTACTTTCTCATCTTCTTATAATTTTTTTTCTTTAATTTTCATCCATTTCCAATTCTCAAGTTTACCCTTTTTTTGTTGTTCATCTTTAATATTTTTTGCTTTACTATCATATAATTTTATTATCATAAACATTTTCAGACTTATATTAAAAATATTAAAAATGGTAAATTTTTATGATGGTAAGCTGCTTTTTGATGCTTTATTTTTTTTTAAACCGAAAGGTAAAAAGTGAAAGCTTTCATTTTTTCAGCGTCCGGACACACTACCCCCATTACATATATATATTACGTATATGCTTACCGTTGCTTCGGCGTACTCATCTAACTTCTTCTCATCAACTTCCTTCTTGCCATGGCACAGATCACGAATGAACGACTAAAAAAAAAAAATCATGACAAAAATATAACTCTATTTTCAAATTTCATATAAATCGATTCTTCTCTCAATACTTCACAATATAGTGATGTTTTCTTATCATGTTTATCAGGGCTAATACACCGGACTATCACCGGACCATCACCTTCGGGCTATCAATACCTTGTGATAACTACCTCCAGAAAATTACAACGGATAAATATCCCCTGTGGCGCTTGAACCTCGAACAACTAACTAAAGACAACTGCCTCCAGGCATGACAGGACAATCATCCAGGAATAAAACTGGACACCTACCCCCTACTAATTACCCATTACTCTTAGATAACGACCTAGGGGAATTATCATAGGAGGTATTTATCCGAGGTTAGTTATCTAAGGTGATTAAAAGGGGACTAGCTATCATAGAATCCAAATAATGCTTTCTGATTATGACCTGAGCTTAATCAATACGTTTTTATTTATTTGTTTTACTTTAAGCACACTTTGCTTCGTTTGGTGCCGATTATGATGGTTATTTCATTTATTTGTTATCAATTGTTTATATATTTCACAAGGGTAGCTCATTAAAACAAAAGCTGGTCTTCCATGGGGCCCTGAAAATACATTGCAACTATATACAGTTAAAATAATAAATACAACAAATAGAATATTATGCATTATAAATGAATTCGGTAAAATTGTACAAGATTTAGAACAGGAGAGAAATAAGAAAAAAGAAAGAAGAATGGAAAGGGAATAGGCAGAGAGAGAGGAAAAAAAAGACTGCGAAAGGTCGCTGAAATCATATTATTGACATGTGCTTACTTTTAATTGAGACTGTTCTATGTAGCCGCTGGAGTTTGTGTCATACTTCTTCCAAATCTGCAATGATACACAAATATCAAATCATTACTTAATCGATCGTCAGAACCTTAAACAATCTGGTACATTTGGTTAGGTGATGTGCTGTTGAAATTACCATGAGATTGACTTCTAATGAGTACATTAGAGTTGCAGTCGTATTATCAATAGCTTCTCTGATCAAATAAATCTTCTTCAACGGATTATCCTAACTGATATTGAATTTCATATATAATATCACTTTCATGCGTTCTACATCTTCAAATGAACAGAACGACATTTCATCTTGATGGGAAAATCAGGGCGTTAGATAATCCGTAGGCGGGCCAATCAACTATCTTGGAATATTTTGGAGGCACCTATATTAGAGGTTTGACCTATATATTGCTAAAAATGATATCCATTGTGAAAATCAAATATTAATATTATTCCTAAGACTTGATTGAAAATTATAAGAAATTTAACCTTTGTAAATGTTTGGTATTCTCTCTCCAAAGAGTTAGACCCATCTTTCTCCCCCCCCCCCCCTCTCTCTCTCTTCAACAGTCACTCAATCATTGAGTAATACATGTAAATATGGAAATAAAAACCTCGCTTGAGGATAAGAGGGAAAAAATACCTTCAACAGGTCTCTGCTATCCGTGATGTTCTCATTTTTCCTGAAGATCACCAAGAAGTTTTCATCGGTCGGTAAAATCTCTGCTAGCTAAAAACAAACAAAACAGACACGTATACAAATAAATAACAATCGGTCAATTTTACCGGGAGGGGGGACCTAATGGTTATGGTGATTAAGTTCGTTTTTGTCTTCCCAGATACTGGTCGTGCCCCGTGCCAAGCTCTGATGACAACGATGATGAGGATGATGATGAGGATGATGATGACAATAATGATGGTGGTGGAGGTGGGGATATGGAAGATGATTCTAATTATAATGATGATGATGATGATGATGATGATGATGATGATGACGACGATGATGATGATGAAGACATAAGTAAAGTAGAAATATATTTAAAAGATCAAAACCTGTATTCCTATTATTTTTTTTTTACACAAATCATATTTCCATCGCTTTTATACAGTCATCATCTTTCTATATTCATGCTGTTTCCCAAAACAAATTTGATGTTCTTCTGTTGTTGTTCGAAACATGCTACCGTGGTTTCTGCCAAGACTTAACTTACGCCCACACCTAACGAGAAATTGTAAAAGCTACATGGATATCGTAAACCTGTCACAACTGTCACATAATGCACTTTAAGAACATCGATCGAAAGAATTTGACTTGAATTGCTGCTGCGAGTACATTTATACTTTCACATGAAGAAACGATCTCTCGTCGTCAAAATATTCATAACCACAAAACTCTCCGGGGGATCGTATCGTCTGTGTTACACCTTTTTAAAATGAACACATTAAAATGGTTCCGTGAAATTTCATACTAATCAGAAAAGCTTCATGTTGTCGCGTATGCGCCTAACATTATCAAGATAAATACACATGAGCTTCCTTATCTGAAACCAATACATGCCTCTTCTCTTCCCCTTTTTCCCTGAGGTATTTTCCCATTACACCCACAATACATAATACGAGACGCCGATATTTGTTTACGTAAGCTTGGCAGAATTTATGCGATTTTTTTTTTAATATACCGAATAATCTTTTTGTTTTTAAGAATTCCTTCTTATAGTATCTTTCTTCTTTTATTCGGTGATATTGATGAACTACTTAATGCGCAACCTAATTGTTTTTTCTATTGTGAGCTCAGTTGTAATGCAGAACTGTCTTGAATATAAAACTATGAAGAAATTATAAGAAAGTTAATCATTGGCATCTGGGGCAGAATGGCTCCTAACAAGGACATGATAAAAGTGTAAAGTCGTGTGTATGAAAAGGTCTTGAGAGATAGTCGAAAGTAATAGTTCCTAAAAAAATTACAAAAAGAATACCATTGCATGGTAGGTAACGAGCTAACTGAAGCACATTGAGGTATTCATTTATCAATAAACATATAAAACACAATACATTTTTAAGTTGAAACAAAAGTGGTCACAATAATAAGGAAATTACAGTAATTATTCTTTAACTATAACTTTTCTCAAAAAGAGAATTGTAATTACATCACGTATCCACCACAATACATAATGCATTTTCATTAGAGTACATGAGCCCAATAATCACTTCCAGCTAGCTACAAGGCAAATAAAAGAAAGCTTATATTAAATTGAATTGAAATTGAATTGAAACACACAAATAGGATGACCTGATATAGACGGATTTGGTAGCTCAGCAAACTGGGGTACCCATTTTTTCCTCGTTACTTTCCGTTTGAAACGCAATATGAGATACAATATTTGAAGGATCTATTTCTAATGCGATTAACATGATTACTGTACCATATGTGTAAGATGAGAGCAGAGGAAATTAGGTCTGAATATGAGACATAATTCCATAGGCCGAGTTTGATCACAATGTCCTTTCCCGCTAGCGTACCCCCCCCCCCTTTCCCCTCTCTTTCGCGCTCTTGTTTTCCGTTTTCCGTTCTCTGTCTCTCTCTCTCTCTTTCTCTCTCTCCCTCTCTTCCCCCACCCCCTTCTTCTTCAAATTCTCTCAGTCTAATACTGAGTTCCATTTCGGACCACGATTTCGGCTGCAAATTTAGTCAGTATATAACAAACTCTGTTTAGACATCATGATATATTTTTCTTTAATTTGTATATTTTTTTCTTCTATATCTACCAGTCTATCTATCTATCTTTCCATCTATCTCTACATCTATCTACTATTGTTATAACATTATTTGCCCATCTAATAATGATACAATTAAAGCGTCTCATGAATACTAATGTTCCTTTCGCAACATAATCCCCCAGTCGATGACTCTATTCACGTTCTTCTTTATTTCCTTTACTCCCACGTAGCCATGATTTCAAAACAGCAGGCACGTAGCCACGGGGGGGGGGGGGGGGGGGGGACACTTGCCCCCCACAAATTTCCAAGATCGGTTGAACTTTTTTAGACCCCCTTTTTTTGTACCTCGATCGATTACCTGTATGTGCTCCCCCCCCCCCCCCCCCCCCACATCAAACTCTGGCTTCGAGCCTGCAAAACAGTATAGGTAATATTCAACGTTTTGCTTCTTTCTCCTCTGATTCCCCCTTCCCCGCTCTGTTTTTCCCTTTTAGATAAAAAAGAAAGAAAGAGAAAAGAAACAGAAAGGAAGGGGAATGACCACCCCCATTGCCCCTAGCTGGCTACGCAACTGTCAACATATTTGATATCTTCTCGTATTTCACAGTAGATTCAAAATCCGCTGCATTCATAATAAACATATCACTTTCTCGGAAAGATATCAAATGACAGTCGAGTGTCATCTCCGTGACGCTAAGTGATATATCTTGTAGATTTACGGGGAGGGATTTTTATTTTTTAGACAGTAAAGGTTTATTTTGAAGCAAAGGACAGACAAGAATCTTGGGACGTTTCCTTTTTATATTCACTCACGCTGAGATGGTGGTGTCTTCTTCCAATGCAAAGATATATAAGAAGCGTTTTATCTAATGAAAACAAGTAAGCAAAATACTAAAACTAATGACTGTATGAAACAAAGGCATTTGATAATTATGAAAGACAAACCCTAATACTGTTCAAGTTTAATATTTGTAAGAATGGTAATTATTTGCATCACAATCAATTTGCATGAAACAAGATTATATTCTGTTCAAGTCTTTTGAATAGAACCTTCCAGTTATATTATTGATACTTATTTTATCGGAAGATTCATACTTTAGACGGTTGGGTTAATATTTGTGCAACTATGATAATGACGACATAGTTTCAAAGTGTTAATTTATCGTGTCTGACATCTTTTTATTGCACGTTAAAACCGATCTTGAAACTAAAACAAACATATCACATTGTATGCGTCCCCGAAGGAATCATGTCAGTCACGGTGTCTGGTTACAATATGAGAATACTTTATCGCCTGGCCTTGTCCACAAAGTGTCATTAAACCAATTATTATGGCCAAAGATTTGCAGAACGCATAATATGGTGGATCGCTGCTTCGCATCGTCCTCATTGCTCGGTCGTTTAAAAATGGGGTTGTGGTAAATCAAAACCCATCAGACCACGACAGCTAATGTGCTAAACATAATCCGTCTGGAAGCGTCCATGTCCAATACAAAAGGAAGTAACTACCAACTGGAGAAAATCTAACATTTGCTCCCGCGACAATATTAAAGATAAAGGTGAGTTCTGGTCATCCGATTTCATTGTGAAAGAAAAGGTGTGGAATGGATCAGAAAAAGTTGATCATATAGCATGTACGTATTGGTGTGTAATGCAAAGTTCTGGAGTCATCAAAATCATAATAAATTTGGCCCAGTCTTGGTAAAGTATATAACAAGCACCTGTACACAGAAAGATGTATATAGGACTACACACATGGTGTCGGGGCTACTAACCTTGATTTCCTAATCTTTCTATGCTCATTACTCAGCCAGTATACATTTTCTACCAAAATTGTTTGGCTAATGACATTTATTTGTAATCTTGAACATTCAGTGTAAATTTCGTTTGATTCTGTGAGAATTTTTTTTTTTAAACCAGAACTCACCTTTATCTTTAATTGCCCCGGGCTTTATTTCGTCGAAAGTATATAGGGTTAGGGTGAGATATAGTTTGAGTTTGTGGGTCGGAGTATTTGGTCATCATAGTGTAGAAAATTCCATAAACTTTCCGCTTTAATCAGATAAAGGCATTAGACCAAACACTGAAGTTGTTTGTAAGCCATGAGAAAGCGTTCCTGCATGAGTAAGACGCTCTATATACTTACATTTTCCAAAACTTTTTTTTCCTGTTTATTTGGAAATCATTAGAAGGTAGTTGCTTCCTTTAGTCAATAAAAGGCAATGTAGGGCTCGACGTGGCATTGAGATTTCCAATTTACTTGGTAGGCCAATAAACCGGCAAAGGTTTTCCAAACGAAAGCATTCATTATGAACATTATTAAGTGTTATCGAGAAGCACTAGAGTATGTGATAGGGCAATGGGGCAATTCGATCATCCCCCTCCCCCAACAAAAAACGCATATAAAAGTCGTTATGATGTAAATAACCACTAAGATACATTTAAAGCTAACAGATTATGGGGACCTCTTTCTTTTTTACATTTATTCTTTTTTCCCCTCCTTGTTTGCGTTTACTTGCCCTATTGTCCCCATTCATTTCCCTTCGTGACCTCCATCCTCGTAACTTTTCTTTCTTTTCAACATCTTCTTCCCCTCGTTAATCAAGTGTGTGGCCTAACATCATACCATCATTACTTGATGAATCTCACTTGATGCATCTTGTCACCCCCGGCACACTTCTTCTTTCCACCGCATATCGGATTCCCCCCACAAGTCACACGCCACAAATCACGTTGCTTATTCTAAAGGGCAATTACCCAGCTCCAGTTTCCTTTTCTTGGTGTACATTTCAACAACTTCTTATTTTCTTATCTGTCGCTCAACCGTCGCGTTTTCATCAATTCCTTCCCAAGACATCGGTCCCAAGAAGGACTTAATTACATGAATCCTTGGGCTAATAATGTTCCCTATTTCGATTTAAGGTTTATTTAGTATATTCTTCACCCGATTTGGCTACTGATTAGCCTGTATTGTGGGTAATGTCCTGTAACGGTAATGCAATCAGGGGGTAA